GGCTTGTTGGTCCTCCTAATGTACCTTTCTGGTTGCAAGAAACTTCAACTTGTCTTCATCCATTGCTGAAGGTATCTGTGGTTCTATAACAGACCACTTCACGATCCTAGACTTAACACAACAGTTTACCACTTCCTGTGATTGGAAGGGTTGACAGGGGTTGTGGTTTAATAGATCACTGATGCTTTTGCTTTCATCTAGGGCCAGAAAGCCTCAAGTCATTCTTTTCTCCTCCCAAGATCGCTTTCCGTGGGCTATCCATCATCCTTAGTCTAGTTCATTTTTCCCAGAGGGAGCAGGTCATCACACTCCTGCTTGTAGGCTACTTGGCAGAATTTCAGTGCCAACACATATCATATGGCAAAACCCAGAGTCACTGCAAGAGGGGACCACATAAGAGCAGGGATGGCTGAGAGGAGTACTTCCTGAGGGCCATCAATATAACCTTCTATCTACGTTTCGTGTTTGTTGTAAAATACAGGGATGGACGAAAGAGGAGAAGACATCATAATCACAGTCAATTTCTGCCCAAGCCCACAGAGAACTAGAATATTGCTTGCGATACCAGGAAATTTAGCCTGGCCATGCAAGGGTGGCACGTGCTTATCATCTACCAAATATTCTGTGGATGCCATTGTCACAACAATCTGTTCCTGCTCCTACAGATCTTGACCGACCCCATCTTCATTCCACTTTTAATACCTCATCTATCCTCAGCTTTCTCATGGCTGCTCATAATGCTATCTATATTTGACCTTTGGCCTTTGTTCTTGCTCCAAACTGCTGCCTCACTCTCTCTTCCTGTCTCATACTCACCCTTCCCCCAGAAAGGAATTTGTTAGCATTTAGTTGGTCACTCTTAATTCCCTTTCAAGTTACCAAGTCATCTCATAGCCTTTACACAGCCTGCCGGCCTTTGTTCAGACACCCACTCTGATTCTTTTAGCCTTGGTCAGGCTTGGGCTGCAGGGAGAGGGGGTAGTTATAGGAAACCAAGTGTCAGATTGAGAATAGAGTATCTCCTCCCTTCTGTTTAGCTGTTGTGACTGGATTAGAGGTGGGATAAAAAGACCGTGCCTTTCCATTTTTCAAAGAAAATTTTTCTCCCCTACTTCAACCACCTTTACTTTTGCAGTCAGCTTTCTCATTCTGAAGAAATCTGAACAGTGCTGGTTGGATACCTGGCGAGACAAGTGTGGAACAGGTGCGCTTTTTGCTCCAGTTGCCACTGGCCTGGTGCACGTGGACTTTCTATTAACCCTGTCTTATGCTTTGTCCTAACTCTCTCATTTATATCATGGTCTCATATCAAGTTACTTCTTTTCCTGTTACTGCTATGCTAAGTAAAATAGTGGATGTCTGGATGATATCATATATGAGAAATAACTAGATTTTACCAAAAGACTGGTATCTTTGTGATCTTCATGTCTTAAAAGTCTTATCTAATTTTCTAAATCTAAAAGATTTTAAGATATTGGTTATTTTTACTATTCATATATGAAATATCTTTTAAAGGGTTTGTGAAGCAGGGTTTTGGTGGCTCACACCTTTAATCCCAGCACTCGGGAAGCAGAGACAGGTGATCTCTGTGAGTTCGAGGTCAGCCTGCTCTACAGAATGAGTTCCAGGACAGCCTCCAAAGCCACAGAGAAATCCTGTCTCGAAAAAACAAAACAAACAAACAAACAAACAAAAACTTGGTGGTAGTAACTACTTCCTGATGGCAAAGCTGGATTGCTGGCTCTTTAATTTTTTTAACCTTATGACTGCTTAACAAAATGAACTGTATTATTGTTATTGTTGCTGTTTTGGAGTCAGGGACTTGCTTTGTAGTCTGGGCTGTTTGGAACTCTCAACCTCCATGACTTTACCTACCCATGTGTAAAATCAACCCTTTACAGACTGCCTTGTCTCTATTATCTTAACTTGTTATTCTTATAAAAGGCCAGGGCTGTCATGTGGTATAATTTTGGGGATCCCTATTCACATGGGAAACAGTGTGCAGAGACCCTTGACAGTGCTTTGAGCAGCCATGTGAAAATCATCTATATATAGACTCCAGCAGCCCTTTAAAAAAATCATCCAGGACTAAATTTGGTAGGTGTGGTTGCTTATGGACTAATTGCAGTGTAAGCAGATGTGGAAGAAGGAGAGATGCTGAATTCTTTCAGGAAATGGCAGAGTGAAATGAGTAGAAACAGCAGAACTTGTTAGAAGAACCAGCTATCTAGGTCTGGTATTTCATATATCATGGCGGGGGTGGTGTGGGGTGTCCTCAGCATGTGGCTGCCAGACTGCGTTGTGGAGTCCTTATCAGTGAGTAGGTTGCTAGAATTTGTTTTAATTTTTTATGACATCTATTGTGTTGGGGAAAGAGGTTCCGTATGCAGTGGCGCATGTATCAGTGTCAAGAGGACAATTGTGGGAGTCTGTTATTTCCTTCTGCCGTGTGGGTTTGGGAATTAAACACTGGTTGCCAGGCTCAGCAAAGAGCACTTTCACCCTCTGAACCATCTTGACATCAGCCCTAGAACTTACTTTGGAGATTGTTGGGCAGACAGGCTATCTGCATATAGGGAGGAGCCTAAGTGGGATTCCTGTATAGAATAGCCCTTAGTAATACAGCATCAGCTGTCATTTTGATACAGCCTCAAGTCATCACAGGCGGTCTCTATTTCGGAACCTGATAAGCCTACATGTTTGTAAAGGATGATTTTGGTTGCTGATTAGTGTAGGAGCATCTAACCCACAGTGGATGGTACCATCCCTAGGCAGGTGGGCCTGGACTCTATGAGAAAGCTCACTGAGCATGAGCCAGGGAGTGAAGGAGAGAGCAGACCACCAAAGCTTTCATCTTTGTTTCCAGCTTCCAGTTCCAATATGGAGTTGCTGCCCTGACTTCCCTTAATGATTGATTGTAATTTGGAAGAATAAGCCAAACAAATCCTTTTTGTTTGGAAGGTGATTTTGGCCAGAGGGTTTTGTCACTGCAACAGACAGCAAACTACAACAGTAGCCATCGTAATGGGGATTTTTCTTCCCTCATCTGTTAAATGGATATATTTACATTGCTTTTCTGTTTTCTGTTGTTTTAAAATGTATCCAGTAAGATGCTCAGTTACAGTACTTGGAGGAATAAAGGTTTTTGAGCTTTTACTAGGATACACTGTCGCCTTAGTCTTATGTCAACTGTCACACAATTTAGAGTTATCTGAATGGACAGAACCATAATTGAGAAAGTTCTTCCATAAAATCCAGCTGTAAAGTATTTTCTTAATTAGTTATTGATGAAGGAGAGCTCATTGTGGGTGGTGTCACCCCTGGACTGGTGGTCCTGGATTCTATAAGAAAGCAGACTAAGCAAGCCACGGGAAGCAAGCACCTCTGCATGGTTTCTGCGTCAGCTCCTGCCTCCTGGATCCTTCCCTGTTGGAGTTCCTGTCCTGATTTCTTTCAATGATGAACCAGGTTGTGCAAGTATAAGCCAAATAGTACCTTTCCTCCCCAACTTGCTTTTTGGTCATGGTGTTTTGTCACTGCAATAGAGACCCTAAGACCCCTCTTATTGTTTATCTTTTCTTAGATACTGTTTCATCTTAGTAGTTTCATTTTGATTCTTTATAGAAGCCCTACTGTAGGATTCCCTTGACTGAGGAAAATGAGAGACATGCCCTTTAAAGACTCACGTAGCTTGCCTTGCTGTTTGTAGAGATCATTAAAGTCTCTGCGGTCCATATGTCATGTAGGCTTTTCTTTAGCTTGGCGTGATCTGTGGCTGTACTGACATAACGGTGGCTTTGTGGAGGATTTATGGCATCTTCTTTCCATGGCCCCAGACACAAATCTGTGACTGAAAAGCACAGGAATAACTAGGCTTATGGCTTACAGTAAAAATATTTACAGCATAAAGAGTGACCATCTCTGAGTTGGACACTGGGAAACAGTCAGGATAATGGCACATCCAGTGTCAGGGCAGCCAGAAAGGCCAGCTGCTGACATGCTACCAGTGGCAGTGATTAGTGTGTCCTGGGAGTCCGGGCATGTCACTATTTAGTTCACTGGCTTGGAGAGTGCAGATGAGCCCTTGTGCAGTCATCACTGACACCGCCCCCATGCTGGATACAGAAAAGCACAAACAGCACAGAAGAAAATGGTAAATGATGCTCAGCCTTCCTGTCCTGTTGGAGAGCTGACTTTTAAAACTTAAAATAACTGCAGTTCTCACTTTAGAGAAAAACAAGGTTTTATTTTCCTTCTAAAAACAGAGACTTTTTACATAAGTCACAGGACAGCTACTTTTCTGAGGCTTTGTGTGATTTTTTGTCAAAACTTTAGATTATTCTTTAAAACTATATAGTAAATCACACTCTATGATTTAATATGAATTTGAGGCAAAAAAAGCACAAATGAACCTTGAATTACATTTCTTCTAGAGTGGAGAAAAGAAATACTGAAATTTTTTTCCAGTTCACAGATTCTATACATAATGTGAAAATATGCTTTTAATGGAATTATAGAAATATATACTAACGGGCTTCACTGCTTATCTTACTATTGATCATTGAAACAGATAGATGATTTTAACTATCTAGGTGACTTATGGGAGTTGACAATAATCTTTTTCAATGTTTTACATTGTCTAATAGTAAATACTTTTTGAAAATTTCAAGCTGGCACACTCCTTATCCTTGACTGGGGTGTTATTTCACATTGGGACTTTATTCCTTTTAATCTAATTACACGAAGAATTTAGTTTTGGCCTGTGATTCTTACTTACTGACTGTTGAATAGCTGTCACCTCCCAAGGTGACATACAGGGCAGGTAGTTCCTGATTGGGTATGTTAACGGGAATAAGGAAGGTGCAAAGCAAGAGTTTTTCTTTGTGCAACATTCTTTTCACTGAGCAAAAACTCAGTTTTCTGTTGCTGTATTTGATTTTAGTTTGATTGAGTGCTGGAGAGTTAATGCTGTTGTTGAGTGCTTGGAATGCCACCTTTGAGGGCATGTGAAGGAGGAGTGGGTGATTTTTCTCTGGTAGGAGTCAGGGATGGGCTGAACCATTGCTTTGTCCTGCCCTAAGAGAATATTCACTGGAGATGATCTTGTGGCTAATGGTGCAGTTAACTTCCAACCTTTGAAGAGAGACCTTATTTTCTCCTATTATAGTTCCTAATCTCCCAATACTGTGAAGATTTATTGCTCGTGATTCTTTCAGTAAGTACTCTTTCAGCTTTTCTAAAACTTGTGTTTTCTTTATCATATACACTGTGATTTTATATGTAATCTATTAATTTCATGTGTACTTTAAAAGGATAAAGATAGGTCAGTGATGGTTTATCCTATATGAATCTTTTCTCATCGTTTCTCTATGTGGGGCGGGGGAGATAAACATTTAAGACATCAGGGAAAATGTGTAATAAGTGAGGAACTTAGAAACTGTGTGTAGCTACTTAAGATTCTACAGACATTGCAGTACATATAATACAGATTTGGGGAAGCATTTGGGTTTTCCAGTATCTATTTAGAGGGCTGAGTGCTTGAATTTAATAAACTTAATTTACATGGTTTATAAATCAGGCAGGCAAGTAGTGTGTGTTCTAGAGTTTAACTTTGCTGTTTTACCCTAGCGTATGTTCTTTGTAAGATCTACTTGCTTTAATGCCCTTTGGGCCCTTTACTTTCACTTTTCCTGAAGCTTTTATTGAATTATAATTAGCACTAAAACCGGCAGATCTGAGGCAACCTAAAACCTGTGATTGTGTGGTGGTGATGTGTTGTAGGCACACAGAAAGGTGGATTGCTTTGAATCTGGGTCAGAAATTCTTGAACAAGCTCCCCTTCCTACTTCTTAATGCCACCTCGAGGCGAATGTTTACAATGGAATAAAAGATAAACTTTCTGGATCTTGAACCATATAGGATGAATGTTGGAGTCACAAAAATGTATTTATATAAGCACAATGCCTAAGGTTTGCTAGTTTCTTTCTTTGTATCTGTTCTGTAAGAAGTCCATCTAAACCAAATTGAAATCTGAATTTGGTTGCTAGCCAAACACACATTATCCTCGTTGTTTAATTTTTTTCATATGTCTGTGCTTTATCCCATGCAGGGAGCTGATATTACAACTGATTTATCTATGATGATTAGATTCTGGTTTGCAAACTGCATGTTATAGGAAAAATATAGCTCAGGTTATCCATGGCCAATCTATTTGAATATAATCAATTCAGTAATCTCAGGGCTCCACTGTGTTCTTTTTTCTTTAATCCCTTTGTTTTGTTACTACAAATGTTTATTTGCTTCCTTCCATGCTCCAAGCAGGCTACTGGGATGCAGATGGGGAGTAGTAGAGATTAAGCCACTATCCTACAGAAACACAGTCTAGTAGAAAAGATGGATTTCATAAAAATGCATGACTACTTAAATAATAAAAGTTATACATATAATTCACTAATGAAGCCTGCAGAAGCTACCTTAGGTTATTACAGTATTGTTCCCTTTTGCCCACCCAAGATCCATTGCACACGGGTGCCTTTCCTCCCTGAGAAGACACCTTTCCAGGTGGGGCAGACATCTTTCTCTATGGCTGGGCTCAGGTTTTCAGTGTGCTGCTTCTCCATACAGGCTGACATGACAGTGAGATCAGGGGAACACAACCCACTTTGGCTATTTATTTATGGTTTCATTTGTTTGTTTTGAGACAAAGTTTCACTTGTAGCTCCAAGATGAACTTGGACTCACTATGTGGGTGAATATGGTCTTAAACTCCCAGCAATCCTCCTGTGTCAGCCTCCCAGGCGCTGAGATCATGGTACATACAAATATGTACGTATGTATGCATGCATGCATGCATATGTACATACATGCAGGAACTTTATGTATACAATGAGAAATTTCCAGAATCCAGAGGTGATGCTGGAATGTTTTCTAGCTGATGTTTCTTGAAAAGAACCTCCTAAGTCATTTATGAAAAACAAATAGGACTTTGATAAACAAATAGGGTGGATAAAGCTTTCCAAGTAAAGGGATGGGATAAAATGAGTCGAGGGGGGAGATTTTAGGGCACATTAGAGGATTAACACAAAAAAATATAGAAAGGAATCATCTAGAAAATAGTTGCAAGGAAGTGCAAAAAAGCTGGTGGAACCAATCAGTCCAGGTCATGGAGGGGTTTTAAACTAATACAGTGACTCTCAATATTTCACCAAAGAAGAACTTGGAGAAAATAATTGATGAGCACTGTTGAGGAGAGTGACTGCTGAGGACAGCCTGGAACTCACAGCTCAGCTGGCTCTGAACCTGTAGTGTAGGTAAGAAATGGAGACGACATGAAGTTCATGTCATCTCCTGTTCAGGTGTTTCATCATTATTTAGGCTTCGAAGGAAACTGGTGCCTCTGCCCAGAACTTTCTCAGTGAGCATCTTCAGGTTGAAGAAGCCATTAGGCTTCCCCTCTGAAGCCTCAGCGCTCACTCTCCAACTGGCTTCACAGCCAGGTTTTCCTGATCTATTAAGATGGACATGGTTGCCTTCAGAGAGCTTAAGCACAAATATTTAAAAATGGAAAAATCATAATAATGGGAATGGTACGGATTTTGCTTGACATCACCACAAATATTTCTGAACTGATATTAGATTTATGAATAAATGATTATTCCAGTCTCTGAGTTAAATATTTAAAACCTAATTCCCTTTTAGAATTCACGTATAACCGAGAACTGATTTTTTTTCTGAGTTGCATATTTTCACTCTTCCTTTCTGACTTTAATACATTATAATTACTGTTCTTATACCCCCTTTTTCAGTTCCCTGCATGAAAAACTATTTGAACGTTGCACGAAAATCTTCTGTGAAAGAAGAAAAGGAAATTCCTTGTGTGGGTCTCAGCAGTAGAGATGATGCAGCATCTTAAAATAATGCCGAAAAAGAAGCCCTTCTCCGCAGGCGGAGTGCCCCTGATTCTCTTCCTGTGCCAGATCATTAGTGCCCTGGATGTACCTCTTGATCGTGAGTATTAAATCTCTTAGGCCAGGAGGCAAACCCTCCCAGTATTCACCATCACACTGAACGGTGTTGGTGAGGAAAGTGTCTGCGTGACACTGAAAAGCTAATCAAAATTAATTTGGCTTTTATCTTCAGCACCTGGTGTTTATGGCGACACTGTAGAACAGGCCCTGGAAATAGCTGGCCATGCTGTCCTCTCCTTTTCATCATCTTTCTTTGCCTCAGGTGTCTTTTGTGTACAGTTGTAGGAGTGGTCTGAGAAGGGACTGGTGCAACTGCCCTGATCTTCCCTGGGGGCAATCGTTTGTGGAAGGACCATGTGATTTACCTTACAAGGATGAGGCAGACCCCTCTTATTGTCCTCATTGTGTCACTGTCTTCCTCCATTGCTGAGGCATCTCAAACAAAACAAAACAAAACAAAAAAAACAAAAAAAAAAAAACAAAACAAAAACAAAACAAAACCTAGAGGATGGTCTGGCCAACCTTCTGTCCCGTTGTAGCCCCTAATCACCCTGACTTCATATGTTGTTTCTTCCCATTCAGACAGACAGCCTCATTTCACTTTCTTGTTTTGTATCTTCAATGCAAATTTAATTATAAGACTAGTGTTACAATACAGCAGAATGGTGAATATGGAGCATGGGAACCTTGGCTGGTCCCAAGGCAGAAGGCTGGGACAGCAGCAGTGAGGGATGGGGCTGGGGGTGGGGTGGATGGAAAACAGAAACCTGTAAATGTGACTTATATTGAAAGTTTATTCGGGGGAGGTAAGAAAATAAGGGAAGGAAAGCAAGAACAAATAAAGAAAGATACACACACACACACACAGAGAGAGAGAAAGAGAGAGAGAGAGAGAGAGAGAGAGAGAGAGAGAGAGAGAGAGAAGAAATGCCTCCTCAGACAGATGACAGAAGAGAAAGAAAGTAGGTGGAGGAACTCTCCTAAAGAGACCTCCATGCCTGTGTACAGAGCCAAGGTGCACAGAGGCACTGTGCCAAGTTCAAGGGGTAGAGCCAGTTCTGCCTGGATTACAGCAACTAGTATGCCATGTACAAGGCTATTGAATAGTCTTCTTTTGGCTTAAACTAACTGATCAAAGATCAAGGTGTAAAAATGTGATACTAAGGCTAGACCTGAAAAATCACTCAAAGGAAGCAGCAAACAGGGGCTGCTGCATTTTTCTCCCTTATTTTCCCAAAAGTAAAATTTAAACCATAGTCTGCCTGGCCACAGTGGTTTGTTTGTAGACAATAAAGACAACCCTGGGTTCCAGCTGGATATGTTCCTGCCGCGTGAAGCAGATTTTCAAATCTGAACAATTACTGTACTTCACAATTGATTTACCCTTTATCCCCAATCTACATGACCTCCTTAAAGCCATTAGCTTCCTGAGGAGAACATCTGTTTGGCAAGGTTTCTAAGGTGCAAGAAAGATAGCTGTTTTCTGGGGCTATGCAATTGCTGGGGTGTCCTTTTCAGTCATAGAAGTCGCAACTGCCTATGCAAAGACAATATGGGGTTTCCTGGACACTCTGCTCACTGCCTGGGACATGCACCTCTACCCTAAAGCCCAACAAAATGCAACATTTTCATTTAGTTACTCATCCAATGGCCTTAATTTAAAATATGTAGATATATATTTAATTGACATATGCATTTGCCCGAGCCTATTGGAGCAGGAATATTTAACTATGCATTTGCTCTAATAGATGCACTGGGAAGAAGGAAAAGCAGCCAGGGCAATGCCTTTGTTCTCTCTTGTGTTAAATATATTCCTCCTTAATCTGACTGCTCAATCTTACTATCAGGGGAAACAGGCACCTAGGGCTAACTCAATTATGGCAGCTAATGGAGAAGAGGCACAACCATGATGAAAATAAAGTCACCAGTAGCCTAGGCACTCCTGCATTAACCTTTGCAAATAGTAGTGACAGGCAGCCATGCAGAATGATTAGAAATGCATGTAAACACTCCCAAGTTCCACACACCCTTTCTTCTGCACACACAATGATCCTATACCCTCAGTCTGGGCAACTGAGAATTCTGAAGCAGAAATATGCTAATGGCATAAAACTGTCTTGGAGAGTAACCATAGAAATGTACAAATCTGAAGTCAGCGTTGGATTTGACTTGGATGGAGAGTTGTAGCAATATCCCATTGTTAGGTATCATTATCATGTGCTTTGTGATATCTGGGATAATAAGATAAGACACTAGACAGAAAGTGACAACTCAAATTAATTGTAGATTTCATCTATTTTTTAAAAACTGACCATAATTATCAGTGCAGCACAATGAGTACAGGATGGAGTTAGATATTCATATTCCTAGAAGAGCCCTCCACCCAATTTTTCCTACAGCATAGCCTTTGTTCTTCCCTAGGCTGATGTGAGAAGCTGCTGCAGGGCAGACAAACCTGAGTTCCAGTTTCTTTCTCTTGCAATGTCACAACTTCAACTTTTACAGTTTGGTTTTTATTCTAGGTCAAACCAAGTAGACAAGATGCCATTTTTTTCTTCAGGGTGCTAACATTCTCATTACTAACATCTGATTTTCTTTAATCTTCTTTGCCCACTCACCTGCTGATTCTGATGGGAAAAAAGCAAAGCTTCTTGATGACTGTAAGTGTATTTCTACAAATTACTAGGCAGTGTGAAGATGTGACTGTGTTCTTGTTTCTTGAATTAATAGTGTGAATCAAGCAAACAACATCATGCTTTGTGATTAGTGTCTTTTTAAGCATCTTGCTTACTATAACTGAACACCTCATTTGAATGCTAAGGTACAAACGGAATATATAACCTGCATGAATAATGGAGACTCTGATATTACTTTCGCCAACCTGCTGTTCTACTAATAAACAAGCTGTATTCACATCTGATGTAACTCAATGAGAAAATTCAAAACTTTGTAGGGAGCACGATTTTTTTCAAATGCCATCAACTGGAACAGACACACATCTTTTGCAGAGTTGTGGAAGTTGGGTGTATGCAGAAGCTCACTCAAGTCCCTCTTCTATGACTACAGCCTTCAGAAGTGTGTAGAACAGTGGTCCTAGGTGTTATAAGTAGAAAAGCTCTGCACTTCAGCAGATTGTATTGAAACACACAGAAGGCAGAATATTCCAGTTACATTGTTCCTGGGAGACTTTCCATAAGGAAAAATTTCTGCTCCTTCTGACACCTGGGAAACATTTATCTTCCAGTGAAAAGATGGTCCATTTTCAGACATTTTCCTTTGATGTTGAATTAAATAGAGAAATCTTGGTAAGTCACTTATTACTACAAAGCATTTGTTAATTGCCATATGACCTAAGCACTGTTCAAAAAGATACCTCCAGATGGCAAACTCCTGGCGCAGCTGCAAGCACAGGAGGGGAAGCCCTGCATTTGAAAGCAAATTTGCATGTCTGGCACTCTTATGCCATCCCATTCCCCCCAAGAAGAACTGGACTGAATGACTCCAAGAATCCCTTCTATCAATGTCTTTGTTCACCGTTTTGATGGTGTAGAACCTTGAGAATTCCTTTCATTATCCTAAAGGCTGTACTCCCAGAATCTGAGGTTGATCACTGCAAAACAAAGCTGATCCAAATCAGAATCCTGAAGCACAACTGAACAGTCTCAGTGTAGGCATCTACTAAAAATGTTACAAAAAGTGTGTTAGTAATCTTCCCAGATAGAGTTGGAGGCCATGTCTACTTTTAAAACTCCCTTCCCTCTGAGGGCTTATAGGAGTTGAGCCTCAAGTCTCCCAGCTAATGAAAAGCAGAGAGCCAGACAGAACTAGCATTAGAAATTAACAAGATAAAGGCAGGGGAGTTCAAAGTGCCTGATGCAGGGGAAAGTAAGCTGGAGCAGGACTGCTTCATTGCACAGTCCCAAAGACTTCACTCACTTTGTAGGCATCGGGGCCCTTTTTGTCTGGCCTACATATTGTGAAATATATAAAGATATCCTTGGCCTCTACCTACTACAGGTAACCATTCTACCTCAACCCTAGTTGTGGCAATGGAAACTCTCCAGATGACCAAAGGTCCCTGGAAGAGCAAGGGCACGTTGCTCACATTGCAAACTACCACTCTGTATAGCATCCCTTGAAGCTGTGCTTAGCACAGACCAAGCAGAAATGAGGTGAAAATTAGTCTCTGCTTGGTGTCTTCCTGGTCAAGCCATTTGTCTCTCTGAATAGCAAACAGAGGTTGAAGTCTATGGCATCTAGTGTTTCTCATTCTAACAAGAATCCTGATCTCCTGAGACTAAAGACTTTAGAGTGCTTTTAGAGCAACTTGGAGAATGATCAAGGTCTCTAGACTGGGTTTCTTCAGATTGAATTGCTCTGGGTCAAATAGTTAACCTTTACAGTTTTATAGTAAAGGACTAGGTAATTATTTGAAAAGCACAATAGAAATACAATCCCCTAAAAAGGAGAATTTCAATCCCAATTATAGACCAAATAAGAATGTTTTCTCTTCATTCCTAATTCATCTACCTCTTGTCTCTGATAAGGCATGTCAAGGCTCTAACTTAACAATCTTTTAGATATGAGCATGTCAAAAGTATTTTCCTTGGGATATATCAATTTACATAATTAGCATAGTAATGAGCTCTACATTCTATCATAAGGAAGAGTCAAGTCTACCTTATAACTTATACTGAAGATATCACTTGAAATGAAAGAACCATGAATTTCTCATTGTTACATCAGAAAAACAGTGTCTGAACATTAGATTTGTATTAGTAATCATTTTCCCAGACTTTTGGTGTGGGAAAATGGACTTTGCTGATGTGTGTGATGTTGCCAAAGGGAAGTTGTGTCCTGACTTCCTAACTTTAGGTGAGTTTTAGGTGAAAACCTAATGAGGATTTACTGCTACAACAGAAGTTACTAAGAATATTTGTGGCATATTTAGTCTTAGGCAAGTGATTTTAATACAGAACAAGTAGTTGTTATTATTGATAGTAAATCATTTATTTCTTTACATTATTTTCCCTTTTACAATTAAGTGGTACAACCTCCAACTATCACTCAGCAGTCACCAAAGGACTACATTATTGACCCTCGGGAGAATATTGTAATCCAGTGTGAGGCTAAAGGGAAACCCCCTCCAAGGTAAGTGTGTTTCCTGCTTTTGATAGCATTTAAAATAGCAGGCAATCTGTGTGCATATAGAAATGTCTGGAATTTTGATAGAATAAGGAAGATCATGTGGAGCAATTTCATTTTTAGTTGGATATTTCACAATATGACTGACAACATGCTCTCATTTATCTAACCAACTCCCTGGCTCATTTTGGCCCTTGAAAGGTGTTTAATGTGTTTTCTAGGTCCTGCACATCTCTATAAAGTATGTTCATTGTCTCCTCTCAGATTAATTACAACTTACTTGCTAAAGCCCAAAATTTTGCATTTTTCTTATTCATGCTTTTCTGTAAAATGCTCATAATTTATGAGGAACTAGAGATAGACCCTATAATCTTGTTTCTCACACCAGTGTTTTATGACAAGGGACAACCCCTTTTATCTGGGCTTGCTTTCTCATAGGCTGAAAAGACAAAGGATAATTTGAATGGATGGCTTCTACGAGCTCTCTTGCTTCTATACTAGCCATGTAATAGTCCTACACCATTCTTTTCCCTTATCAGTGTTCTCTCTGTAGATCTCAGCATAAGCACATCATAATCAGGTCTAAAAAAAACATGATAAAGATGGGATTCTGAGAGTCATCTGCTGGACTATCATCCAAAGCCATCTAGAGAGTAACACAACGGCTCATCCAATAGTATGGAGGATTCTATACAGCTTGATTGTTAAAACATGAGACTTTAAAATATTGTAACTCTTAAATCTCATAACTGTTAAATTGTAACTAGGCATAAGAATTTATCAATAATAAAAGGATGCAAGTTTTAGATATTTTATTTGCATGTTTGTATAAGTTTTATTAAACTAGAACCTGAGGAAAAATACTACCTGGTTCTAGATACCTATGCATGTTAATACTTCCATCAAGGCTTTATTCCAAAATAGTAGCCCCACCATATTGCTGAAAACCATTTTTCAAACAGGCCTCAATGTTCACTTTAGCTTCATTTGTAGTCAAGGCCAGGTAAGTATGGCAGAACTTTTTGTCACTAGTTAGTGGTGATGATTTTTTGCTGTGAGAATAAAGCTGTCCTGTGTACTGTGGGATGCTTACCAGTGTCTTTGCCCTCTGACCATGACAAGCCTGTAGCCTGCGCCACCACTATCACCCTCTCTAGCTTTGGTAAGCATAAGTAGTAAGACAAGAAACCCAAGTTGGAAAACACAGCGATGTTTGACATCTATGTCACCATTGTCTCACCATCACCAAGGTGCCTAATGAGGAGGTTAGTCACATGAGCACTGTGACATTTAGAGGAGGGCATCTTTTATGTAACTAAACTGAGAAAAATGAATCTTGGTTGACAATTTGGCATATCTTCTAAAATTTATATAATTATTTCTAGAATTAAAAATTCTAAAAATACACCTTATATAGAATTATCATTTTTAATAACTAGCATTTAAAGCATCCAAAGTCTTAACTCTACTCCCATCCTCTCTCTGGTTTGTACTTTAATAGCTTGAAACAGATCTGATCAATTTCCCACTCAAAGATAATATAATTCTCATAGGGGCCTTTCTTGTCACTTTTCAGCCTAGAGCACACTTTTATAGCCAGCTTAACTGTGTATGAACAATGGGGTTTACAATAAAAGTGTTCCGAGATTATGCCTTGAAGACCTGTTTTTATATTTTCTTAAAAAAAAATGGCAGGCAATTTGTATTAGATTTGAGCTGATTTTAGAAGCAGTATATGCCTCAAAATGTAAAAACAGAACTTATTTTTTCCTGAGTCATGATTTGGCACAGTATTTTAAGCAAGGGGCCTTTTACTAAGTATTGAAATCCAACAGTTATTTCTGGAAACCCATAAAACCTAATGTTTTTTTTTATTTTAATTACAAACAAGATTGAAATACATGACAATCCCAGTTCCCTTCTCCCTCTCTTCCTCCCCTACCACCTCCCCAACTAAAACTCTACCTATCAAATAACCTTTCTTCTAATCTACACCTGACTCAACCTTTCTGCTCCCTCATGACCTCTGCATCCTTCCTCTTCTTCCTTCTCATTCTCGTAGCACCCTCTGCCCTCTTCCCATGTTCTCAATTTGCTCAGGGGATGGTGTGACCCTTTCCCCTTCTCCAGGGGACAAAGTTTGTCTCTTTTAGGGTCCTTCTTGTTTACTAGTTTCTCTGGCAGTGTGGATTGTAGGCTGGCAATCCCTTACTCTATGTATATAATCCACATATGAGTGAGTACATATCATGTTTGTCTTTTTGTGATTGGGTTACCTCACTCAGAATGGTTTCTTTGAGTTCCATCCATTTTCCTGCAAATTTCAAGATTCCATTGTTTTTTTCTGCTGAGTAGTACTCCATTATGTAAATGTACCACATTTTCTCTAGCCATTCTTCAGTTGAGAGGCATCTAGGCTGCTTCCAGTTTCTGGCTATTACAAATAGTGCTGCTATGAACATCGTTGAACAGATGTCTTTGTTGTATGAATGTGTTTCTTTTGGGTATATGCCTAGGAGTGGAATTGCTGGATCTTGTGGTAGACTGATTCCCATTTTCTTTAGGAGTTGCCATACTCATTTCCACAGTGGCTGTACAAGTTGGCACTCCCACCAGCAGTGGAGGAGTGTTCCTCTTTCTCCACATCCTCTCCAGCACAAACTGTCATTGGTATTTTTTATTTTAGCTATTCTGACAGGAGTAAGATGGTATCTCAGAGCTGTTTTGGTTTGCATTTCCCTGATGGCTAAGGATGTTGAACACTTTCTTATGTGACTTTCAGCCATTTTAGATTCCTCCATTGAGAATTGTCTATTTAGTTCTGTACTCCACTTTTTAATTAAACCTAAAGTTTTTTAAGGGGTACATAATCCTATATTTTCTAGACCATTAACGAGCTTAACCCTTCATGTTTTGGGCAGCTTTTCCTGGACTCGTAATGGAACTCATTTTGACATAGACAAAGACCCTCTGGTCACCATGAAGCCTGGTTCTGGAACTCTCATCATCAACATCATGGGTGAAGGGAGAGCTGAGACCTACGAAGGCGTTTATCAGTGCACAGCAAGGAATGAGCGTGGAGCTGCCATCTCTAACAACATTGTTGTCCGCCCATCCAGTAAGGGAGATTTCTCAACCAAACATGGCCATTAAAGTATAGTGACCACTTCCAGTTGTGGTTATTTTGAAAACTTTTAAACTTATTTATCTAAAATTATACATAAAGAAATTTAAATTGATCATGAGTCTTTCCATCCGTGCAAATAACTTCTAGCCAGTATTTTTCTTTCCTTGTGTATATGAATATAAACCACCTTAGTCTGAAATACCATTTTACAACCTTCTTGATATTAATATATGGTATATATTCTCTTACAAATCTTATAAGTGAATATACATATGTAATACTGTATGAAATACAAATGTGTATTTAGTTACTTATTTAGCAAATATGCTGACATTTAAGTTTTTCCCATTCTCTGTGGATAACTTGCTTGTATCAAAGTAGATGTCTTATTGGTGTATTAGTCTAAATTATTAGACAATAGATTTGTGGCTACCAATAGTATAATTATAATTATTACATATTAATGTTTATATAGGAAATTATATAGGAAACATTAATATGTAATAATGATAAATATAATAATAGTAAAGAGGAGTTTTCTTTTGTTCTATTATAATTTTTAAACTCTAGTGCCTTATTTAAAAGCAATTTTCTCATTGTTTAATGTATATAAATTCTAGGTTACCATTTTCCAAACACTTTGGATACCTTTCTTTGTGTTGATGTCTTCTTTCTAATTTTGCATGAAGACATAACTCACAAGGCTTTTGGTTTTTCCTTACAGGGTCTCCCTTGTGGACCAAAGAAAGACTCGAACCAATAACACTTCGAAATGGTCAGTCATTGGTACTTCCCTGTAGACCTCCAGTTGGATTACCACCAGCTATAATATTTTGGATGGATAACTGTAAGTCTTAACACTAAGAATTGTCTTCAGTCATCTTGTAGTTATTTGTTGTCTTAACAATTCACTTCCTCTTATGAATCCTAAAGTGCTCATAAAATGATCTGTAAATGCTCAAAAAAACAGCTGCTTAGTGAAATAATTACCATGCCACTTCATTCATTAACTGTGCCATACATTGCTATAGATCAACAACAATAGAAACTACAAGCCCATCGATGATTGGGCTCACTTTCTAGCCAACAGAGATAAGCTGTGAAGGAAAAGGAGGCAGACAGTAAATGCATTTTAAAAATCTGTATCGGTCAATGATAGGAATTATGGAAGAAAATAAAGCAGAAATATGAGCCTAATGCTAATGGACTGGGGTAAGAGGGCAAACAAGTGGCCTGCATATCTGTGTGGAAAGGGAGCACTGTGCAAGCCCTAAGGAGAAGTATCCCTAGGGTGAAACAAAACCAAAACAAAACCAGAAAAAGCAACCAAGGGGAATGAGGATGAAAGCAGTGTCAGGGAACCACAGGGACTTGATGGAAAGGGCTTTTGTTTTTTTCACCTGAATGAAATAAGAACACATTTTCCTGAAATAAAGTAGATAGTAAAAGGATCATTTCCATTCATGTGTGGAGAACATGGAGGAAAAAAGAGAAGTGGGGACAGGCCAGGATATGGCTCAGCATATAGCTGAGTGGTGGGTCACTTGTCGAGAATCTGTAAGGCCCTAGGTTCAATCCTCAGGGCTTGAAAAAGAGAGGTGGGGTGGAGACCAATTGGGTGTGCATTTCTGTAACTAAATCATGGTCACTGGTGACTTGAACTTGGAAGGTAGCAGTAGAGTGGGTCAGACTCTGGAGGCAATCTGAGGATAGAGCCTCTACAGAGGGAGACATGGGATCATGAGGAGAAAAATCAGGGGTGAATACAAAGTTCAGAGATAGAAAACTGACTGAAAAATAGGAGCATCCTTTCCTGAAACCTCAAAGGCTAGTCATAGAGGAAATCAGGTTACTTTTATTATATCCTATCTTCAGTTTTTTAAATCACCAACAACAGCTAATACTTGTTGAGCCTTTTCTGGGTATCCGTCCTTTACTAATAATATCACACTGATTCTCCCATTAGTTTCTCATAACTAGCTGAAGCATATCCAGTCATCCTCTAGTAAGGAAACTAGAACAAGGAGAAATGAATCTAGTTGCTAGAAAATTTCAAATTTGTCTCCTTTTGACACAGTCAAATAGTTATTGTTCTAACCTCCCTCCCCACCAAAAAAAGCTATTATGTTAGCATGCTGTCTTAGAGGTGGCTTGGCTTAGAAACTAAGGAACCAGAATTCAGGATGTGAGATGTCCAAGACATCCTCATATCAATATGCTCAGCAAAGGTCAGAGGTATGAGGCAGAAGATAAGCTGGGCTGCAGTCAGCATGGTGTGAATTCTTAGTGCATAAAGGCATAGGAAAACATCCATGGGCTATATGAGACAATTTAGTGACTGGGTACTGGAGGTAGAGAACAGAGCCTGCGTATAGAGACCAAGAGTGGTGCAAGAACACAGAAAAGCAAACGAGAAGGAGCAGTGACTGGAGTCAACAGAGTCCATAGAGAGATGGAATTGTGTTCCACCCACCAGGTGGAGAACACTGGTTATGAAGATTGTTGAGTGAAGCTAATAGATAACATGAGGCCTGGGAAATGTCTGTTAGATCTGGCAACAAGAAATAGCACTGTGAGATTGCAAGAGACCTGCCTGTACATGGAATGGTGGAAATGTATGCAAAAGATTTGCACAAAACACCCTGTTCTCAGAGACATGACTCCCTCTGCATTTAATCACTGGTTGCAAACCTTACTGAGGAGAAAACTGGACTCTAACACCTCATGTTCATTATTGACTCATGAAACCACTAAGAGAAAGTGTCAAAAGAAGTGGAAAACGAATCTATCAACAAATAAATGTGTAAATATATGCTCCCTTTATTTATGGACAGCTGTTATGGATTTTGAGGGTATGCACAACAAACCTAATACAAAGGAGTGGTTTATGGCTTTGAGAATAACACTCTTCAAATGTCACTATCAAAATTAAATGTATTAATTTTTCTTATTCAGAAATGATTTATTGTTTTCTTAATAAAGAAATATGTCACATGGAAACTCTCCAAATCATCAAAATATACAGCTAATGCTTCCTGCGTGGCACAACTGGCAATACATATGATTTTATACATTTTCAAATGGCAGCAAACCATCTGCCTTTCAAATGGGCTTGCATCTGAAATATGAGGAAAGGCTGAATCCCCATAGCACTCTTGCTTTATGCATCATAAAAATATTCCTATCTGCATATCTTCAAGTGTAATACAGAGAGACTCTAAGGCAGTCTCACACCCCCTATTGATGTCTGTTGTCTTACATTAGAGCTAGCATCATCCATTAGTCATGCCATTAGAAACAAAAGGCAATAACTACATGTCTTTGGTGCCTTGGATTCATTAAGTAAATGTATGTTTTCTGAGACAGGGTCTCACTGTGTAGCCCAGGCTGATGGTTGAACTTGTTGTGTAGTACAGACTTGCCTCATCTTGTAGTTCTTTCCTGTTCAGTCTTCCAAACAGATTGGGTTTCAGGCATGCACCACCCTGCCTGGCTGTCAGTGTACATTCTTTTCCTCAATATTTTAAAACCATTCCTATCCAAGAGGACTAATGTTTTAAGACTGTAAATTTATAAGCCTCCAACTTGACAGAAACTTGAATAACACAATTCACAGGGCTTGGACTGCCAAAATTACTGCTGGTTTTTAACTACAATTTTGCATTTTGTGAAATATTAGGTCAGGTACCTACTGCAGGAAGAACACATATCCTTGCTTCGGGCTGAAGAAGTCCCATCAACACATAAACCCCCAACCTGATGTTGCAGGGATGTGTGACTTGTCCAAATCCCTCTCACCTGGGAGAGGAAATAATCACAGTTGGAGCTCTGGGAACTGAGCCAGGCACTTTTGGATGCTTTTTGATGGTCGAATGTAACATCATCCGCAGATCAATGGCTCCCACCTCTTCCGATCCCTCAGCCGTGTAGAAAATCCTCTTGCTGTGCATAGCTCCTCACCTGATCTAGATGCAGGATGATCTTTCTGGAAACTGGAATGTCAATGTGCTGATGGCTGATACTCAGCCCTTCCAAGAGTGAGCCCTTGAAGGATCCCTTGACAAAGACTGCTCACTTGTCAGTAGCTTCAGCATTAAACCAAATGTGTCCTCCTTCTTGGAGCTTAGATTTTAGTACAAGGAGATGGTCATTATTCATATATATAATGAGTAAAAGATGGACGGTGTCACAAGGTGAGCTGCACACAAGGTGAGGGAAGCCAGGTTTGGTTCCCAGTAACATATCATAGCATCAGATAGTGGCATCATTGCCATTGTCTGTTATGTTTAACCAGGTGTTTGCTGCTTGGTTCATCAATTAGACTGTAGGCTCACACTGGGCTGAGGGACTGTTGTGCTTGTCTACTTGCTCAGAACCTAATTTATGATGACATGTAACTCATGTTGACTTCCTTACAGACTTTTCTGATGTGTTTTCTAAGATGTTTGCAACTAGAGATCAATTGAGATACCAGGAAATATGCAGAGCTGCTATAGAGCATTTTTTTCATTTCTAATTTCTTAATGAAATACTTCACTTCATGACTCTAGTGCTATTACTGCTTGAAGCTTCAAGAAGTTAGGATTGGCCAGGTTCAGTGGAGTGTGTGTGTGTGTGTGTCTCACATCTTAAAAGCAAAAACCCCAAACAGCAACAACAAAATAAGCCTCAAAAGGGTTGTTTTCTTTTCCTAAAAGAGCTGTGAGAAATATATATATATTTATTTTTCTCAGGTGAAGCTCAGATGTGTTAGTTGATGGCTGTCCTGCTGATGTAGAGGGTGGTAACTGTATGACAGAATGATCTGAGTATCTCTCTGTCTTCCTCCAGCCTTCCAAAGACTTCCACAGAGTGAGCGGGTTTCCCAAGGCCTGAATGGAGACCTCTATTTCTCCAATGTCCTCCCAGAAGACACCCGCGAAGACTATATCTGCTATGCCAGATTTAATCACACTCAAACCATACAACAGAAGCAACCTATTTCTTTGAAGGTGATTTCAGGTAAGAGCTCAGCCTTCTGGGTCTCTTTCAATGGTATTTACATACTTGAATCAAATTATTAACAGTTAAATACAGTTCCGTCTCTGAGGTAAACCAGTTCAATGATCAGGAAAATTCCTGTAAAGGATCTCTAAAGCATTAGTTTATGTGCTAGAAAAAGCATGCATACCCTAAATATTGGATTTACATTTTTCACTGATTGCCATTCCTGTTTCTATGGCAACCTCCCAACTCTGTGGTGTTCTGAGCATTGGTGTATGTATTATGCCTCACAGTGCCTGTTATTGGCATTTATCCTGTAGCTCAAGTTGTAGTTGGGGGTGGCTGAGTGAATTAATGATTTAGCCAGTATGTTGTCAAGCATTGGATTTACCTGGAAAGAATGGCCCTTAGAATAGCTGTATGCAATTGTTTTTGTTGCCCGGTCATTTTTTGACTCTTCTCCCCTGCCTTTGTGCCCTCTTCATGATATTCTGTTTATTTCAGTGGATGAATTGAATGACACTATAGCTGCTAATTTGAGTGACACTGAGTTTTATGGTGGTGAGTTACAGTGGTTGTAACTGATATTCTCTCCTTCATTGTAGACCTTAGTTCACTAACTTCACCTCCATGGCTGTTTAACTTTGTTTCTTTATGAAATTTCTAATTACATGTTCAATATCACCATACCAATGTGTGTTTCTTATAAGAATTAGCTATAAAATTTCAAGCATGTCACTAAAACCTTTTCCATGATGTATGTATAATTAAACTTGTTATAATTTTTCATGTAAACCATTTCATATGCTTTAGAAAAAAACTCTCATATGTGTTCAGAATTGTATTTTCCATATGTTGTACTGTCTAAAAACTTTTTGCATGACCTTCACATGAACTGACTGGTCATATAAACCCCTAGAATACTGACCCACTCATTAGCACCTTCAGTAACTAACATAGAGTACATTTCATAGTAAATGTCTAACTTCGTTCAGTAGCATTAGGAACTGTATTGTTCTTAGCATTGTTAGAAACACACTCATTGTCTTCTGTGGGAATAAACTTCTAAAAATAGATCATTCACCTCCATTGTTTTAAATTGGAAAGAATTTGATTTCCTTAAAGAAAACATTCTTGTCAAGCATAAAATCTATCACTGAAAATAACTGATTCTAGACATGTGGGCGTCTTAATTCACATAGGTAGGGTTGCTGCTGCCTTAAGTTTTTACCTTTGAGATATGAACATTAGAGAATATGGCAGGATATAACCATCACTTTTATTTATTTAATACAATCCCCTAATATGGACCTCAAGAGCATTCTCAAGGTGATTTTTAGAGGAGTAAGGTTCCCAACAAGCTCTAAATCCTTAAGAAAACGAATTTTTCTTCAGCAATGCCTTTTTGGTACTCAGTTTTTTCTTCTGAGAAATGAGAAATTAACATGCTGCCTCTTCATTTGGCTTTAGAAGCATCAAGTAGACATTTGTGATTGAAACAAAGAAAGTCCACATTTTATCACATTTCCACTTGAAAGTTTCCCAAAGACTTCAGTAAATATGGCCACATATTTAAGATTCCATCAGACAGAAGGTCTTCCTTGTAGCTATTTCTAAGCTCGCTGACTTAGACCCGCTTTATTTTGTCATTGAGAAACTTATGTGTTTAGCTCTGCTAATATTCTTTTTCTCTTTCCAAAGCTAGGAACCAAACTCAGGTCTTACCCACTAAACAAACACTCTGTCATGCAGCCACTCCTTTAGCCCCCCCTACTTTTAATCTTCATTCATGGCATATAATTTGCCAGAACTCTGTCAATAATTGTCTAGTTTTGCTTAATTTCTCACAAATCTTGCAGTGTAAGAATCTTGAGATGTAAGTCAGTGGCATTGCCCATAATTCTTTATCTGGAATAAATCAAAATACTTTGTCCATACTGATTTGCTGCTGAAAAAGAAATCTACCATCTTTCAAAAGACACACTTTTTGCTTTGACCTGAGTACCAGTCTTAAGGGATGTGGGGTTTGATGAGCTAATTTTTCTTTGTTGACATTTTGAAACTTTATGAGCCCACAGAAAATTGGTAAAGACCTAACCCAAAGTAAAGACATGTACAAAAGGAGTCCTTTCACTGCTTTGCTCAGGCAACCAAACTTGTTTCTTTTCCTGCACATGGAATAAGTGAGAGAGTATATATGTATAACTGAAGAAATCCCCAAATAAGCCTAGATTTCAAATGAGATTAGAATTGTAGGCAGCTTCTGACAATGACTGTGTTCCTAGAAATACATCTTCATAATTTTAATGTATATTGCATTTCTTGTTTGCAGCTAAACCTAGTAAAGAGAGGCCACCAACATTTCTAACTCCAGAGGGCAACGAAAGCGTCAAAGAGGAACTGAGAGGAAGCGTGCTTTCACTAGAATGCATTGCAGAAGGCCTGTGAGTTAACTGTTAACACATTCTGTCCTGATGCTTACTTCTTACCAAACTATAAAAGACAGGAAGTAATATCCGAGGAAGAACCTTTGTCTTATGCTTCTAATTTGACCCAAATCAAGTAAACTTCAACAAACATTTCCTGAGTAAACTTTGAATTCTATGTTATTGCTAAAGTATTTTGTTGTAATAGTGTGTGTTGCATTATCTATATCTGTAATGACCTTAAGATCACTGTGCTTTAATAAGGTGGTAGAATTTTGCTACTTTCTAACAAACAACCTCAGTACTTGGTAGATTAAAAAAAAAATAATAACAGCTACTTACCCTTGGTCATTTGTCTAGAGCTCAGGCAGGGGGCAGCATGTGAAGGTGAATTAACTAGGGGTCATTACTCTCAATGTCTGCCACATGGAGACATGCTGGCAATGGATTTTTTAGCAGTGTTACCTCTCCTGACATCTGCCATGAAAGGCACACAGGGCATGCCGAGGCCTTAGAACAATGGCATTGTTCCCTCTGTTCCTTCCTGAGGGCAGACTGTAAAGTCCATGTGCCTTTGACAGGCATTTCAGGGAGTCCTTTGACAGATATAAGAGCAACTGTGACATTGGGTCCATATGGCAGGCAGGTTCTAGATTGTCCTCCCCCAGTGCCTGGCATAGAGCAAGTGCCATCACATAATCACAACTACTGAAGCTGTGAGTGGATCCCAGGAGCACCTTGGCTGCCTTCATGCTTTATAATTTGTGTTGTCTCTGACCTGGCAATCGAAAGATCATATAATCTTTCTTTAATCCAGGAATAATTGCTTCAGGATGCACATGGAGGCCTCTGCTGGCCAAGTTAGGAAATCACACTCAATATTTCGATTCTTCAGCCTAAAAACTAACAAAATTCTTAAAAATCTGACAAAAAACAAATCAGTCTTTCCCATGCTTTGTTGATACCCATAGGAAGACCGCCCCTTTCTGAACAGAAACAGAGAGAGTTTTGGGCAGGGGAGGAGGTGTGGGGGCAAGGAATGGGAGAAGAGTAGGGAGGGGAAACTGCAACCAGGATGTAAAGTAAATAAATAAATTTAATTAAAAACATTCAATCTTTCCTAACAGAATTTTTCCAAATTCCATTTTGGTTTCATTGAATCACCAACATGACATGTAACAAGTTTCATATCTTGGCACATCTCATGTTTTCAGATTTGGAACGCTGAATGTTTTTTTGTAAAATATGGTTATAATTTGGAAATATAAAAAAATAAAAACTGAAAGAACTTTTTAAAACATTGAAATCTTGTGAAACACTGGTAGGTACTTTACTGCTTGCAAACCAGGGACTGTTAAGCTCGATATTAAAACATTCATAAATCTTAAGGATTTTTCAATAGAGTAGGAGCCTTCCATAACAACTGGTCCTTTACTCAGTGTAATCTGTAACATTGAGTGTCTAGCCCCATCCCTCTCCTGCCTCATCTGAAACATGAGTCTAACTATAAGGAAACATATGTTGTCTGATTCCACATGTGACTCGAACTTCCAAACTGATCTCACATCTTCTACAGCTCTACATGTTCATAGCAGGTTTTAATTTTAATTTTAGAAACCAATTCATCTAGTTTATATGCTGTCACTTTGTTCATTCAAACAAACTGAAGGCACAGTTACAAACTGTCATTCCAAACATGTCTTTTACCACATTGATTCTTTGAATTGTTTTCTTTGTTTCAACTTTATTGATCTCTGTCCTCAGTTTGATTATTTCCTGGCATCTACTCCTCTGGAGTGAATTTGCTTCTATTTGTTCTAGAGCTTTCAGTTGTGCTGTCAATTCTCTGGTGTGACTGACTATTCTCTAGTTTCTTCATGTGGGCACTTAGAGCTATGAACTTTTAGCACTGCATTCAAAGTGTCCCATATGTTTGGGTATGATGTGTCTTCATTTTCATTGAATTCTAGGAAGTCTTTAGTTTCTTTCTTTATGTCTTCCTTAACCCAGGAATTGTATAATTGTTCAATTTCCATGAGTGTGTAGGTTTTCTGCAATTTGTGTTGTTGTTGAATTCTAACTTTAAAATGTGGTGGTCTGATAAGACACAATGGGTTATTCCAAATTTTTTTGTACCTGTTGATATTTGCTATGTTGCCAAGTGTGTCGTCGATTTTAGAGAAGGTTCGATGTGCTGCTGAAAAAAAAACTAAACATGTCTTTTGCATCTCTGATGACAAATATAATGATGACTTTAAGATCTCCATCTGCCTTTCTTTTTTACTATCTCCAAGATGTGGCTTAGCACACACACACACACACACACACACACACACACACACACAGGCAATGTTTTCTTGAACAATTTTTAAAATTTTTCCTCATGAAAATTTTCTAAAGACATTATACTTGCCAACCATTCTTCTCATTGAGACAGCTGCAAATGATAGGGTCCAAGGAAGTCAGTGAACCAGGGTCAGAGAAAAATTTTAGCTAAGATCTGAGACTTTGAGAAAGATGCAACTCCAAGCAGTATTCTGGCTTTTCATCATTACGCCATTTGTTTGGATTTTCCTGATTTAAAAGGGTAAAACTTGAGTGAGAGGTGGTACAGCATTAATCTGCTCTATTATTGTCAATTAGCACAATGGTGTTCTAAATGTTCACTAAAAATGAAGTGAAGGAAAAGATTCTAATTCATTAATTATTTAATTCATATCATCAGTGTGTCATAAAACAGAAAGTTTCATCTGTTTGATTTGTAAATGTATATACAAGTCAAGAGGCACTGATATGCACATGAGTCATTCACTATATATCTTTAACATTGATGGGGAATTATAATACAATATGATTAACTTAATAATAATTGACATAATAAAAGTCTCTAGAGCATGCTAGCTGACCAGAATTTTGAAGAAAAGATTATCCCTTTAGTAAAGCAATTCTGCTTGCAGTACAGCATTACTGAAGTTAAACTTTATGCCAAAAATATAGTTCTAATGATTTGAAAATGGGAATTGTTCCAAATACAGGTTTTGAGCATTGCTTATAAAAATATGATGCTAATGAAAAGGTCTGTATGTTTGTCATTATCTTTATGCAAACAATTAATTACAAATATGCATGAGAATTGATGCTCCAAGACAGTCACAGGTGAAATCACCCTTTGTAACATCATTACTCATTTATCCTCTCAGACCTACTCCAATCATTTACTGGATCAAAGAAGATGGAACCCTTCCTGTTAACCGGACGTTTTATCGGAACTTTAAGAAAACCTTGCAGATCACCCAGGTTTCAGAAGCAGACTCGGGAAATTATCAGTGCATAGCAAAAAACACATTAGGAGCTGTCCATCATACCATTTCTGTGACAGTTAAAGGTATAACTCCATCTCACGTGCACTCCCTTGCTTTTGTGCAGGCTCTGAAGCTTCAGTTCAATGTGCCTTTGATCATGCTCTTCAGTAATGAGAAGTTTAAATTTATATCCACATTCATGGTGTCATGAGTCTTTTCTCATTTCTATTGTAATTGCATGCAGGCCAGATTTAAAAGCCACCCTTTCAAATCACCCTCACAGAATTGCAATTAGTAAATGCAGAAAGAATAGTAAAAGTAGAAAATCACCATGATAGTCCCACAGCGATAACTGCTTCAGGCAAGATCCAGGGAGGAATTCTAAAATTGGTGGATGAAAACAATTTTAAGGAGATGCAAGATATTTGCATAGCTTCAATGTGTTTCTTGCTCCTTAAAAAATCAAATCAAAACCAAACCAAACAAAAACCTAGTGGCTAAGACAATTTTAATGTATGTCCAGTAATTCTTTAATACTCCTTCCTGGAGGTGATGGAGGTTATGTTCTCTCTTGAGAGTAGGCTGTACTAGTGGCTTGCTGCCAACAGACAGAACACAGAGTACCAGACAGTAGTAACTTTGTAGTGGGAATACCTGACAGATAGTGCCTCAATCACGTGATGAAGCCTAACATCACTAATAGTAAGTCATTGTGATCTCATGTCTTCCTTGAAGTAGTGTGATCAAAAAGAACCCATCACTACTGTGATATTCTTACAGCCCCAAATCTGGAGTTAATCATGAGAAAACATCTGACAGACTCACTGAAGGCATCCTGTCAAGCCAAGTAACATTGTTCAGATGTGTCAGAATTGTGAAAGGAAAGAAGAGACCAAGAAACTCCTTGGCTAAAGAGACTGAATCAGTAGAGATGGTGTGGTATCCAGGACAGGGCAATGGTTACTTCCTGTCTCATAAATATCCACAATCCAGCTATATAAAATGTAGATATTAGAAGAACCCAACTAAGCAAAGGGGTATAGGACACTGTATTTTATCTTTGCAACTTTTCAAAAAGTTTTAAAATTGTTTCTCCATTTTGTAATTGCATAGTTCAGAGTTCAAATTCATGCGATTTTTATTTACTCAGTAAAGCTTAAAGAATTATTTGAAGCAATTCTTATGGTTTTTCATTCTAAAAAGTGAGACTTACAGGTCTTTTACAAAACCCTTATAATCTGTTTCAACAGTCACAGTATTCTTTTACTACAATACTTTTGAGTCATATTTTTTATCTGTATTTCTTCTCTCAATAAAGCGGCTCCATACTGGATTGTGGCACCTCAAAACCTTGTGCTATCCCCAGGAGAGAATGGAACCCTCATCTGTAGAGCTAATGGCAACCCCAAACCCAGAATTGGCTGGTTAACAAATGGAGTTCCAATAGAAAGTAAGTGTCCTTTGTTGTCTCTAATTGGAGATTATTTTCAAAGTACACCTGTATCTCAACAATGAGTGCATGGTGATGAAATAATTCAGGTTTAGGATGAAAGCTGAATATAAAGTTAACAGGGGCACTAAGTCACCTTTAAAGTTCAGTATAGGTTGCCAGAAAGAATGGGACTAAGTCAGTAGATAACAAAAGGAACATCAGACTGGCCTAAGTTTTCAGTCTTGGGGAAAGCCCAAGTATCCCCCAAGTTTTCCAATGTTCAGGGTCAACCTTCCACTGGATGGGTACCTGAAGGATGGGGTCCTGATCTTACGCGGGGTATTCAGTCTTCTACTTTGCCCTCCCTGAGTACTGTGAGGTCTTCTCCAGAAATCCTTGAGGAAGTCATTAAGACATTGGTTGTATTTGTAACCATCAACCCTCCTACCCCGTTCTACAGGTCCACTCCTAGCTCATTTTCATTAGATGTCTCTCGAAGCTACCACTATGCTGCCCACAGTGGCCCATTAAAGTGTAGCCAAGGGCTTTCCATGAACCCTCCAAGTCATAGTAAAGGCTCATTTTATAAAACTTGATTAGAGGATTGGGGTATTAGAGGGAATTACAGCAAAGCAAAGGAACAAAATGGAATTGGAATCTTGTCTCACTGATTCTGAACTCCTAAGCCATGGTCATACAGAGAGCAGCCAGCTACCTTTTTCCTATGCCTCCTGGTCTCCCTACAGTGGGAGGCCTTTGAACATTTCACACTTTTGGAAATCAGACTTCCTCTTAGATGAAGAGGGAGAGAGAGAGAGAGAGAGAGAGAGAGAGAGAAAGAGAGAGAGAGAGAGAGAGAGAGAGAGAGAGACTTCAGACTTCAGCCTCAGGCTCACCTCTTAGTCATTATCATGATCAGATGCAAAGATACTCTTTACTTAATAAAGATACTTTCATACAATGTGGCTCCTCATAGTCCGCAGCTGAAAATCAAATAACACTTCTACTTCCACACAAGAAAAAGTTCCTTTGAACTGATTTCTCTATAACTGAGTCTTCCTCTGGCATGGAAGGCTCAACCCAGAGATGAAGATGGCCAGTAGATCTACCATTACTTTGAAGAACAACAGCATGTTCCTCATTACCAGGCACAGCAGTCATGGGTTTAGTCTGAGTAGTTGCACTCTGTGCCATGAGTGTGTTTGCTGGAGTATTTGTTGGGAGTTTGCTTGTGTCACAAGGCACAGTAGTTATCAGATACTTGGACAGAAACAGCTTGTATTTCCTGAAAAAGGAAATATGTTCTTGGAAGAAAACTGAGGCTAATGAGGCTAGTTATTGGTACTGATATTTATGATCCAATTTTAATTATGATCAGAGTAGGAAACACCACAAATATTACTTCATGGTCATATGTCAAGGAGCTACTGTCCCTCCCAGGGGATTCTGTGACAATTGAAAGAGTGAAAGAAAGCCCAGAACTAAGATGTTTTATAGTACAACTATGGTTTTCTTAAGAATGCATATAGAATAATAATGGCCATATTGAATACTCAGCATTTCTGCACCAAAGGGTTTGCTTTCTTCCAGCTCATTGGTTCTTTGCAATTTATAGAAAGTTAAGTGCACTCCAGAGATTTAGACTCAGCAAAAACAGACAAGCAGGAGAGATCATCCTTCTAGCTACTCAGCAAGAAAATTGGGAGAGCAGGGGCTGGTGGGAGAGCCAGAGGATGGTGAAGAGAGAAACTCCTGGGCTTGACTGTCAGGATACAGTCCTAGCAGGGAAAACTGAGAAATTAAGTGATGAGGTTGATCTTTCTTCCTGATGGGTTTATCATCCTTCCAAATTGGCTGTCTTACTCTGCTTTGCTGCCATAACCAAGTACCTTGGGCTAGATAATTTATAAACAACAGAAAATTATTGCTCAGTCTAGTTGGGGCTGGAAAATCAAAGTTGAAGGAACTTAGTAGCTCTTCTAGTGCTGGTTTTTCATCTGTGAATGTACAGTGACAGCAGGGACAGTCTCCCTCAAGTCTTTTGCCAAGGGACACTGTTCCTATTTGTGAGAAAAGAGCCCTTATGACCTAGTCACCTGCCAAAAGCCTGAGCCTTTGGCCTAGGACCACCTTGGGGCTGGGGGTTCAACATACGAATTTACAGGAGCTACTGACCTTTGGAGGACAGAGCCAGCATAAGAGCACTTGGGGGAACCTTGAACTCTATTAATTTTTGTATTAAGAGCTTTAATATGCCTTCCCATGCACTCCCCTTTACAGTTAAAACTAAATCTGTTTGGAGAGGGAAGTTATCTCAGAGAGACAAGTTAGGCTCTTCTGCTTCAACCCCAAATCATCCAATTAGGTCCCAAACGGAAAGAGTTAGGATACAATCTGCCAAGTCATATTCTAAGTCAGTTCATTTTTTTTTTCCATCCCATGTGTGTTCCCTTAGAAAAGACCAAGGAGGCAACACAGACAAGGTAGGAATTCCAGAGCTTTTCAAGATCCAGGGTGCCCTAGCTCAGGTGTGTGCAGCTCAGAGCAGCCTCCTGGTGGGCATTTAGAGAGGGGAACCATGCACAGCAGGGCAGCACAGCAAGTGGGCTTGCCACCTGGCTGCTCCAGGAAGCTTCAAGCAGCTGTTGTTTCTGTCTGAGAGATGGGATGCTTCTTTGGGAGTGGTCAAGCTGGAAGAACATGGTCTGTTTTATGGACATCTCATAACTGTGGGTGATGGGCTGGCGGGGAGCCTGCATGGTTCTTACACTGTGCCTATCCCTGGTCCTCAACACCCTCCCCCCACCCCCGGTCTCTGGACAGCCTCTGTTGAGTGTCTTCTTTGAATGGAAAATAAATCTTAAACAGCCAAGTGTAAAGAGATATGCCTCACTGTGTACTGGCTTCCTCTGATCAGCAGTACAGAGTTGGGTGAGGAACTGAGGCACCAGAACAAAGCAAGAAGTCAGTAGAGGCTTGAAGAGGTCTGCACCACTCTCCTTTCCACTTAGTAGTTGGCCATGGACTTCAACAAGATTGCCTTGGAGACTCCTGAACTGTCTGGAAACAGGCCTGGTGCTTGCCTCTCCTCTGTTGAGTTGTGCATCCTGCAGTACCAGATCGTGGAAGAGAGACACAAAGGTAGAAAAGGAGAAAACTGCAGTGTAGTGGCATTGACTGAACCATGAGGGTCACTAACTTTAGCAGAGACAAACATAGGCTCCATAAGTTAGCCCATGGCCCAGGCAGGCTAGTTGGCACCACCTTCCACCCAAGAGACTTCAGAAATTGTAGATGGACCAGCTACTGGGGCAAAGGGTCGAGGACCAGCTGTGCTTCCACAGAAGCATGGTTCAGGGAATCATGTAGAATCCGGGCAGGTGCCACAGGTTTGTCTCCTATGCCAAGCAGCAGAGACACAGTCAGAAAGCCACATGACCAGACACATAGACTGCTTCTCCTGACTTGTTGGCAATCATCCAAACACTCTGAGCTTCAAAAACAAAACTAGGAATATCAGAGTGAGGTGGAGGTAAGACTGGATTCTTCTGGCAAAATGTGGTATTGATTTTGAGCTTGCCTTCAGACCTGGAAGTTTTGTTTGATAAAATTCATTGGATTAACTCCAAAGCACCTGGATGCATATATCACTGGCTTCTGAAGTGATGTCTCATTTCGATCAGCCAGGTACTTAACACTTCCTTGACACATGTGTGTTAAGAAAGAGCAATCTCTGCCTGACACAATTACAAATTGTGCTCGATTAACACATGCAAAAAACTAGGGGACTGGAGACTTAGAATATTCTCAAGATCCTGTCAAAGCCTCCTCCTTCCTCCTCCTCTTGGAGGTAAAGGGCTCTGTTGTTGGCTGGACCTGTTAGAATAGAATAGCTGGGAGAGGGAAATCCAGCTGTTTGCCAAAGCTTGTCTTTACATCATGTCCAATTGTTCATACTCCAGGAAATACTTATAAAATGTAATAGGACCAGAAGTCTGGAACAAAACTATTAAACTAGTTTGAAGTTATTATAAATTAAACAAACTATTAAGTGCTTCTGTCTATGCTTTTCATATCTAAAGTATATCTAATATCTAATATTTATATTATGTCAATATTAGATATATTGATATATAATATTCATATTATATCATATATAATTATATAAATATATTATTAGATATATTTTAGATATGAAAATAGGTTGACCTATTTCATGAAGTTCTAAAAAGAAATTATACAATTATCCTAAAGGTAAAATTATGCAATTGATACAAAAACATGTTAGAGATTGACAGTACCCAGTAATTCTAAGAAATCATTTCTATTTATTATAATTATTTTCATATCCCAAATATTGGAAACATTTGTAGCCTTTGCCATTCCTTTTAGGAGAGTTATACTGTTTTAAACATTTTCTGAAGGCTGTCACCCAACTTTTAGACTTTACCCTTGGGGCTTAAAGTTATAGATGCAGATGTATATACTCCTACATTTTTTTGGTGTTCATTTACAACACATGAAGTTTGTTGTTACTAGAAATGAATTATTCCTTTAGATGAGTTTTTGTGGTACACACACAGCATAAAATTTACTAATTTAGGTTTAAGAATATAGTTCAGTGTTGAGTTCTTGCCATGGGTTTACTATTGCTAATTTAACCTGTGAACTCACAGTCGAATGATGTTGAATACATTCACATTCTTGTGCAACAATGCTCCAGATGATTTTCATCTCAGAAAAAAAAAAAACACTCTATATTATTAACCAGGACATGGTGGTGTGATTTTAAGATTTCAGATGTTCAGAGATGTGAGGAGGCCTTATCCTATGGTCTGTTATCCACGCTAAAGGTTCAGGCACTGTGTTCGGCCATTGTGTCATCTTCATTATGGTTCTTTGTTGCTGGGCACACCTTCAGAGGTGCAGTCAGAGTGGGTACATGGTGGGCATGAAAAGCTCCATGGGCATTTCTAAAGCTGAATGTCCAAGTACTAGGGCCATCTGGTTAGGAAAATCCACAGAGGAAGAGTGGCCAGGGGTGCTGCTGTTCTGTGTTCCACCATGACTTGTTAAGGCAGTAATTAGCCATTACTTCAAGTGTGTCCATCCGAAAGCTCCAATGATACAAGGCTTGGGATCCAGGATAAGAAACAAGGGCTTCCCTGATGTGTACCACATTCTCAGATCCATATCTGTCTTCTACACCTGTAGGGCACTTCCTGGGACAATGTAACATATGTCCTCTGCTGTTATTTACTGATACAATCTATACCTTAATGAAGGAATTAAGACTCCCATTTGTAATCTGTTTAGAGGAATGTTTTCCTTAAGGCAGTTTGAAAATTTTAATCAGAAATTACAAATGTGAGTTAAGGAGTCAATTCAAAGAATCTTGACATACCGTATCACTAGCAGAACAAATATGTGTCTCAGAAGATTCCACACCTTAGCCATTGATTGTTGCCAGACTTTTGGACACTAATTTTGTAAGACACCTATTATGCTTCCTCAGGAATAAGGGCATTTGTAGTGATAAGTCTTTGCTCCATCCGCCCGAGCCCCGCTGCCACGTGGACACCCAGAATAACACAGAGTCATATTAGTTGACAATGCTACTGGCCAAGTGACTAGGATTTCTTATATGCTAGCTCAGTCTTTTTTTTAAATCATTTTTTATTTGAATTAGAAACAAGATTGATTTACATGACAATTCCAGTTCCCTTCTCCCTCCTGTCCTCCCCTACCAGCCCCCCAACTAAAACCCTACCAGTCACATACCCTTTCTTCTATTCTTCACCTGACTCAACCTTTCTGCTCCCTCTTGACCTCTGCATCCTTCCTCTTCTTCCCTTCTCATTCTTGTAGCTCCCTCCCCCCTCTTCCCATGCTCTCAATTTGCTAGCTCAGTCTTAATGATCATAAATCTATATATTTTATAAGAATTACCTTATCGATGATGCCTTCCACTGGTGTCCTCTTGCCGGGATCACATGGCAGCTCCATAGAGAAGAGAGTAGGAGGAAGAGGAAGAGCAAGACAGTGATTCCTGTTTATATTCTGAGTCTGCCTGCTATGTCACTTCCTGCCTGGATCTCAAGACTTATCTTTACTACATTTTCCAGAATCCTTCTTGACTCCTAATCCCACCTATCTTGCTTCCTCATTGGTCGAACAGTGCTTTATTCAACAACCAATAAGATAAACATACACAGAAGGACATTCCCCATCAGGCATTAATTACTCTCTGAGAGGTAGCTCACAAGTTGAAATTTTAAAAATCCTTGGAAGGTAAGAACTTGTGCAATAGTTCAACTTATGATACATTGTTAAATTATCCTCATCTGGAACATCCAAAAGACTGTTAGGCTATAGGTATAATAGTAGTCAGAATGTTTAATAGTTAAAATAAGGGATCACAAGGATGTCTGCATCCTAATCCTTAGAACCTGTGAATATGTCACCTTACAGAGCAAAGAGGGACATTGTACATGCAGTTAGGAGCTTTCTGATTTGGAGTTTGGGGCCTAGTTTCATCACATGAATCCTCAAAAGTGTTATGCCTTGCCTGTCTGTGGTCAGGCAGAAACGTGATCATTGAAGAATGAACAGAAAAAAAAAATGATGCTGATGGCTTTGATGGTGCTAGGAAAAAAAAGCAAACATGGGCTAAGAAATTAGGAATCCTCCAGAAAGCAGAAGGAACAAAGAAGTGGATTCCTCTGCAACCTAAAGGAGCAAAGCTTTCCTCGGACCATGCCTTTAGCTCAGTGGGATCCCCCTCAGGCTTCCGACCTGGGGAACCAAGAAGTAGTGAACTTTATATTATTTCAAAATACTAGATTTGTGGTAAATTGTAGCAGTAAAAAACAATTACAGAATGAATTAGTACAATGCTTGGGCATGAAAAAAAGGAGAGTAACTATAGCTGCATTTATTTTTATTAAAGTGAATTAATAAGCCAGAGGTGAGCCAGATACTTTTATTTCAGAGTGGTAGTGGAGTCTCAGTACAGTGATACACAACCTTCTCTGGTCACTGTAGAAAAAGAACTGTGTCTAGAACGGGAGCAATGTCCTCCTATGGCTGCCATGTGCAGTTTCAGAGGGAAGGTACTGTTACTGACTTTTGTTCTCATCAGCATGCTAAAAAAGTGTGCTCTTAAACTAATGCGGAGACATGGTCTAGAGTGGAAAAGAAATTCCTGTGTCACAGCACAGCACATGCACATTGGTTGCCTTGCTTTGGACAAAGTCCTCACATACTGTATTACCCAGCCAGTTTCATCCAACCTCAGCATGGATCAATCCTGGTCTTAACAACTTTTAAGTACTTGAGGGATTTAGCTGAAAAAGGCCTTTGGGAGAAATTTTATACAACTGATTTCTCCTTCAGCCCCAGATGTGTGCACAACAGGAAAACGGATATCCTCATGTTCATGACTAGCATGTTCTCTATGCATGCCTTTATTTACTCATCCATTTATTTCAAGAATAGGTCCTCCAAGGGGGCAGGTTTGAGCAAGCCAGCATGTTTCTGCATTTGTTGATAAGCTGTTATTCCCTCCTTTGGATAATTAACTTGCCTCCTTTTAAATACCTGGATTCTTTATATACAAGGCAATGTGTTTCCTGAATTGCTGTTCTTACCAAACTTGGGCTTGCTTTTCTGCATCTCTCTAAGCAGTCTTCACTATTAAAGATGAATCCATCCACTCAAGGCAGAATGACCATTGTGCATATTTGCAAACTCTGCTTGGATTCTTTTCCACTTACTGATGTACTTACCTAGATCAGGCTGTATTTCCTTCCCTTTCATGTAATAAAGATCTCAAATTTTGCACATTTAATATTTATCTTTCAAGCAGCAAAAAACATTTTCTATTTTTATATCCAAACAGTAGCCCCCGATGACCCCAGCAGAAAAATAGATGGTGATACCATTATTTTTTCAAATGTTCAAGAAAGATCAAGTGCGGTTTATCAGTGCAATGCCTCTAACGAATATGGATATTTGCTAGCAAATGCCTTTGTAAATGTGCTGGGTAAGTTCTCTCTTTATTAATGACATGGGAAGTTAAATTAATGACTGCTGTTGTTTTCTACTTGTGCATCAAAAATGCTTTATGTCTTTGCTACCTGTTTTGCATAGTGTTTCAAGCTACAAAGAATATACAAGGGTAGATAAGATACATGTCTTGTCTTAGTAGTGTTCGTTTGCATTTGAGTATATGTGCTTTTCCATCCTTACACACCTGTTAACTGCTTTTGTCACAACTGTTATTGTTGTGACAAAGCACCATGACTAACGCACCTTATCAAAGACAGCATTTATTTCATCTGAGGCTCACAATCAAGAGGGTAGCAACACCCATGACCATCATGGTGGGATCATAGCAGCAGGTGGGCAGACATGGTGCTGGAGCAGTAGCTTCGAGTTTGCATGTTGAGACAACATTTATAAGGCAGAGAGAGATAGCTAGAATGATGTGGGCTTTTGAAACCTCAAAAACTAGTCCCAGTGACATACCTCCTCCAAAACTGTCCCCTAATCCTTTCCAAGGAGTTCTCTCAACTGCAGACCAAGCTTTGAAACATACGAGCCAGTGGAAACATTCTCATTTAGCACCACAGAAACCGACAAGTTCAAAAACAATGTCACAATTCCAACACAAAAACTAAATGATTAATCATAAGGCTTGTCTTTTATCCAAGTCACAGATATGCATTGTTTCATTGAAAACTATGCTCAAAGAACTGTAGGGGTTCTACATATATGCTACAACTCAAGCATATTATGAAATGGTTGTGGGTAAAATTATAGTAGCAGAAATTATACTTCAATTCTTTTAGATAGTGTGCTCATTTTCCAAACAAACGTAACATAAGGAAGCCAATCAATATTTGGCAGATGTTGAGGAAGCACCTTTGACTTCTGGGTTTCTTTTCATGCTTTACTTCTATTTATTCAACATCTTCAGGTTTCATATTTCAGTAAGATCAATACAATGTGTGTTACTTTGAGTCTGGCTTGTTTCATTTCACACAATGTCTTTCAGATTCATCGGTGCCACAAACATTGGATCCTCTTATTTTTCAGAATTTTTATTTATGTTTATGTCTGTGTATCTATGTGAGTGCCTATCATATTTTTGTGGGAGTTTAAAGATACCAGAATGGGGCATCCAATCCTCTGAGCCCTTTGACATGGGTTCTTGGAATTGAACTTGTGTCCTCTGAAAGAACAGCATGTGCTCTTAACTGCTGAATCATTTCTCAAAGCCCCAGCTCCCCTTCTTTATAAGACTGAAAGAGTATTTATATGTCTCTTTGAAAACAGACATTCCATCAGGTATCAAGTGACACATCCCTGTGGCTGAAGTTTGTGTTTCTCTTGATAATTAGTGATCGGTTTTTTCACATCTCTCTTGGCCATTTGTGTGTCTTCTTTTGAGAAATGTGTATTTGGATCTTTTGTCCAGTTTAAAACCCAATTTTTTTTCTGGGAGTGTTGAGCTCTTTGAGTTTCTTATACATTTTGTGTATTAGTCTTAGATCAGGCATATATGAGCAAATCTCTTCTCCCAGTCAATGTTTTTTCTTTTCATGCTGTTGCTTTCTTGCCTGTCAAAGGCTTTTTAGTCCCCTCTGTTCTTCAGAAACCACACTCTCCACTCTGCTTTCCTTTGCCTCTTCATGTGTCTCACACATCCCCACCCACTAGAATGATCACGGGTCAGCCATTCAGCAATGTCACATTTTCCTGCCAGACACTGTGCTGTGGATAAAATGATTAAACAATTGCAGTCTTTCACTATAAGATACCCAGTGTCATAAGGGATACAAATAAGTGAATCCATGATTAAACAGCATAAGAATCACAGATAAGTAAATCAATAATTGACTAACACCTGAGTAACATTTTGAGCATGAGGTAGGAGGTGTTTCTTCTATGTTAAGTCACTACTGATGTCACAGATACAGAACATATGGGAAAAATAATGTTAGATGTACTTTACCACAAACTTTAATGACCTTAAATCAAACATGATAAATATACTGTACGCCTAAGATGTATATAATATTTACTATACCGTTTTAAAATGTTTTAGCTGAACCACCTCGAATTCTCACATCTGCAAACACACTGTATCAAGTCATTGCAAACAGACCTGCTTTGTTAGATTGTGCTTTCTTTGGGTCTCCTATGCCTACCATTGAGTGGTAAGTAGTAGCTCTATTTCTTTTTTGATACATAATTCTAATTAGGTCTGGTTTTAGTCAGAAAACAAACAGGAAAATGCAATATACAATCCATCATATTACTAGTTATTAAATTTATTTACTTTTTCTCAAATATTTATTAACTATCCAGCTCTATTAACTACAAAGCTGCATAGAAATGATTTTTAATATTTAAGGCTGTTATATTTCACAATCATGGGCCTTGCCTAGAACTTAGTGAATAGCTTCTGAAGCACTGGTTAGGAAACATGCTCTTGATAATAAAATGGCATAGTGTCAGGGATGGAGAGTTGGCTCAGTGGTAAAGAACATTTATTGTTCTTGCAGAGGACCTATGTATATTTGGTTCCCAGCACCCATTGGGTGACTCTCAACTCTATAACCCCAGTCCCAGGGGATTCTATACCCATTTCTGACCTCCATGGGTACCAGGCATGCATGTGGTACACATTCATATAACAGAAAATGCCCGTTTACATAAAAGAACAGAATAAATCTAAAAACGGCACAGAACTGGAGGAGAGGTTGTATGGGTTCAGAGAAGACTTGCTGCTTGGTGCTTTTATTAGCCCAGCAGAGCTCCTGTGTCCTCCTACCTCCTCTCCAACCATCCACGTCCTACCAGTCCTGGTAGGAGTCCTTCAGTAGCTGACAGTTTGCTTGCTTTAGAATAGCTAGACAGGACAAGGGGAAGATGAAAATAGATGTAACACAGTTAGAACAGGTATGTATTGATCATCAACCATTGAGATGAGAGTGACAGCTGTTTAGGATTAAAGAGAAGTCTGTCCAGGACCAACCTTAACTCCAGAGAGGAGAAACATGGACACTTAGGCTTCCTAGTGAAGGTGATGAGATTACCAGCTCAGAATGACTTTGTTCAGGCCCTTTTCATCTGTCTCCACTTCTCCAACATCACATGTATGTTTTCTTTACATTTGCTAGTCCTACTTTCAGCATATAATCCTGAGCCTTGAAATAAAGTTGTCTTTAAATTTTTTTTCTTACAAATGGGAGAAAAAATATAAAAAAGTACCAAGGTTTTTGGGGTACAAGCCCCCTAACCTATCAGGATCAAGAAGGAACAGTACAACAAGCTCAGGAACTAGCTAAAGGATTCTGAGGGTGAAGGAAATGAGTCAGCTCATACATGTCTTCTTCTCATCACGTCTCTTTATTCCAAGCTTTCCAGTTTATATACCCACACAGGCACAACTCACAATTCTCTGGCAATAGCAAGGTTATAGGCAAGCATTTTTCAGGGCCAAGAAAACAGATAAGGGCTAACAAAGTGGGTGTCCATTAAATTACTTTATGTCTCAGATGGGGAATGGCTGTGATACTCCCTGGCAGATACTGGGAGGATCAATTAAGGAGAGAAATTTAAATCATTATAGAATTCTAAGAAGAGAAAAATGGGATTTTCAAGTGTGGCTAGTTAAGCTAGAAGTTTGTAGTCAGCAAATGTAGAAAAAGAGGAAGAGATGCTGTATCTCTGTGCTTTCTAAGCACTTCCTCTTGCTTTCACAGTGGCTGGGAACTGGCTTAAGCTGAGGAAGGAAAATGGGTGGCATTTGATACACATTAGCATTTTTGCCAAATGTTAGCGGATTAAAGGAGACCTCTCAGGTCTAGCTATTAATCTAAGGTAGCTGGATCAAAGGGGGAAAACTAAGGCTATGTGATATAAATTCCAGAGGTTGAGGCTTCCAGTCTTGGGCTAAGTGATGGGGTGCTTGTTCCCACTGATGCCCCAGTGAGAAGAAATATTCCTTTCTCTGGGGCTGGACAAGTGATCTGTAGCTTTATCCTATGTCTCTAGGGGTAAAGGAATAAACTGTTAATTTCCTAGACTAAGATCTTGTATCAATAAAACCAAAGTGGAGGTAAGTACAGAATATTACCAGCTTGTTATGGTAGAGTCTGGGCCAGTTAAGGTTGTACTTTCCTAATTGAGCTATTAAGAAATCAGGTCACCCCATCCTGCTTATCATGAGGGTAGACATGCTGAATCCTCCTCTGTGCCTGTCCTTTAAGGCTCTGAATGTGGTCTATTTAAAGGCTCTTCTCCTGGCCAGATGTCCTGCCATAAAGGATAATTGTGGGGGGCGGGGGGGCTAATTTTTAAGTTTATAATAGGGAACTGGAATAGATTTCACTATGAGCAAAGGATTTCTTGACTTTGTGAATACTATCTCATCAGGGCCCCATGGTATGGGGGAAGATCACCCAGTAAACCAGTACATGAGTGAGTTATGCTCAATAATTAATTGAGACGCTGCTGAAATTTTCTGGGATGAATACCGTCAAGGAAAATGGAGTGCTATGACTTCATAAGGGTTTCACAGAAGTGATATTCAGAAGGCAAATATTACCAATGCCCTGTGATTTGGGTGTCCTCCATTGGAATGTGTGATCCTTGTGGGTCAACCTCATGATTTTTGTCAGCTAAATTCTCTCTGTATAATCCTGTGGTCTGTAGCAAAACAGGGAATCTTACTTTTGCCTGTTGTACCATCTATTTAAGGATAAAATAGGTAATGTCTTTAGTTACGTATCCCACAGAAATTGCAGTCCATTATATTTTGTTGTTCTAAGTTTGCAAACCCCACCAATTTTTGCATTCACCTGTTTTATGTGCTTTCTTTTCATTTTTCTCTGACATATCAGAAGTGTGCTTGTGGAAAACCCTTCAAGTTTTGGACATTTTTGGTTTTATAACTTGAAAAGTGAAATCTCAACAAATGTTTTCATCCCCACTTTACAAATTAGCAGAAATTTAATCTCTGTCATCATTCCAAATGTCTTTGACCTTGACACTTGCTGCAGACCACAGTCTGTTGTGTTTTATTCTCACTCTGGTAACTTTTGTGATGAAGGTTTAAAGGAACTAAAGGAAGCGCTCTTCATGAAGACATTTATGTTTTACATGATAATGGAACATTAGAAATTCCCGTGGCCCAGAAGGATAGTACAGGGACCTATACATGTGTCGCAAGAAATAAATTAGGGATGGCAAAGAATGAAGTTCACTTGGAAATCAAAGGTAAGACAGAGTTGATGAATGTTTTCAAGTATTATATGATACAGAGCAAATTCTCCAGTTTTGCCAAAATGGATAACAATAACTTTGAATTTTAGATCCAACCAGGATCATTAAACAACCAGAATATGCAGTCGTGCAGAGGGGGAGCAAAGTGTCCTTTGAATGCAAAGTGAAACATGACCATACGTTAATCCCCACCATCATGTGGTTGAAGGACAATGGAGAGCTGCCCAATGACGAAAGGTATTTCAGATGCTATCTTCCCCCTTCCCTCTCTGTAGACTGCTCTATGTCAATGGGTTATTGACACCATGTTTTCAGTGTCTGAAGTCAGCTGTCTGCAAAATTATGAGATAAACATTTTCTTTTTCCTGTGCAGTACTTAGAACTAAAACAGTATTGGGTGTTTGAAATATGAGCCTGAGAATGTTGGTCTTTGTGTGTTGATCTCCTGTGAAATTCAGGATGGAAAAGGCCCTCCAGATTTTGGACGACATCCATGGTCGTATAATTTGAATGGCAAAGTCTCAGCAGATGTTTCCATCTGTACTCTACAAATAAGCAGATATCCAATCTCCATAATCAGGAATGCACCTGACTCTGCCAGTATTTTAAAGAGTACTAGTTTTGAATTTGGATATTGAATTGCTTTTAAAAAGAAATTTAACCTAACACCTGCAGAAGGAAAAGAAAGTCAAAATCAAGTAAACCATTTAACGGGGTTAATCAGTCCTATAGCTTGGAATAGAAGGAAGATTGTGGTATTTTCTACCTGAGGCCCTCAGCTTCCCCTAGTAATGACAGTCGCATGCACGATTTTAGCCGTTAGAGTGGACACAAGTGATACCCACTGCCAGGAATGCTGTGTGCTGATTGAGATGGTTTCCATGGTTTGCTTGTACTGACCCAAACTTGGGATGACTGAATGGTACCCTCTTGCTTGCTAATGACCCCACAATAACTTTCTGGCCTTTCTCTCCATGTGCCCAAAGCACACATTTCCATCTGGACAATTTTTTTTTTTATGTGAAATGTGAGGTGGTAAAGAGAAGAGAACATGAAGAAATGACCATGAGTTAGATCAACTGAGGTTTGACTGCAAAATTACTTAGAAGACAGATTACAATTTATGCAGCCTCCTTGGAACCATACATGAATCCTGCATGCAAGATGCAAGTAACTTCTAGAATCTCTTAGTGAAGATTACTGATCTAATGACCAGAATGATCCCTACACTTTTCATTTAGCTCCTGCATGGGCCTTTATACAAATGGGGAAAACAGTAACAACACAAACTTTCTGCAGCAAACAGTAACTTTTTAAAAAATCTTCACTCTGAGGGAAATTGTGCAGAACAAAACAACCACAGAAGCCTGACTGAAGCACCTCTAGTGGGGGTAAAGATGAAACCAACCACCTCACCCCAGGATGCAGGCAGTAACTTTGATCAATAAAAAAATTAATTGGCATGCAGTAATTGTACATATTTATGGTATACCATGTGATTTTTGCCCCCACCCTAGGAGGGTTGCTGCAGAGTCTCCTAAGACTCCATAAGTCTGACAGAAAACTGTTGAGTTATTGTCGTTTTCCAGGTTTATTAATTACTGAAGTGATATATAGGGTTCACTCTAATTATTGAAGTGTTTATCCTTCTCTTTTATCAAGTTCATAGAGACTCTTGCCTGCTGGGAAGACATGTATCAGTCAGCTGTGTCTTTTTTTTTTTTTACGATTTATTTATTCATTGTGTTTACAGTGTTCTGTCTGCATGTGTGCCTGCAGGCTAGAAGAGGGCACCAGATCTCATTACAGATGGTTGTGAGCCACCATGTGGTTGCTGGGAATTGAACTCAGGGCCCCTAGAAGAGCAGTCAGTGCTCTTAACCTCTGAGCCATCCCTCCAGCCCAGTCAGCTGTGTCTTGATGTCAATTGCTCTACATGTGTTCTGTTTGCAGATTCTCCATTGACAAGGATCATCTGGTGGTGACTGATGTAGGTGATGATGATGGTGGGGTCTACACATGTGCAGCCAACACAACACTGGACAGAGTTTCCGCCAGTGCTGTGCTCAGGGTTGTTGGTAAGACCAAGAACAAACATAGCACAGCCAGGTTCTCTGTGTTTGGGGGGAGGGGGTTGTAGATATCGAATGTTTGTTTGTTATAGTTTCATAGCTACAAGGGTGGGCGTTTTTCTTCTTTCAGAGATGCCTTATATTTCCACATAAATATGCTCTGTGTAGATACACAGACTATGACAAAATGGGGGAAGTTCATATCAGTAACACAAGAAAATTAAGGAAAATAACTTCTAATATAGAATCAGAGGGGTTTTGTATTCCTAAATTGTCACTGCCAGTGCCATACCTCACAGTGAAGTAGAAAGCTTAATTAAAAAAGTAATACTGTGTTGCTTTTGTCTTCTTCTATGTTTCCATTACTAATTTTGATTAAAATCCTTTATATTAATGTCCTTTCTAGCTCCCACTCCAACTCCAGCCCCCATTTACGGTAAACTAATGAGTCTTCATTTTCTGTCTTCTGTTAAATCATTTCACATTTGCAGACACTGCTTTCCCTTGTCTGTTGTATCATTGCATTTCTTTAAGGAAAATGACTTCATTTGTCATAGTCAAGTATTTCTTAAAACCTTATAGTACATTGTAAGGTTAGAATATTTTGCTCATTGTATTTCCAGTTTTTTCCAAATATTTTATTTGCTATTATAAACTTATTCCATCTTATAAAATCCCTCTTTGATAGTTTACTTGCATGGTAACATATTCATTTATCAAGATCTATCATCCATATTTTACCAAATGAAAAAGGTGTTTCTTAGAATCATTCTGCAAATTGGGTTTTACTTGTATACTGAGATTTGTTTCAGGACTCAGGAGATGACTTAGTGGATAAAAGTACTTGGTGTGAAAGAAAGGACATGAGTTCAAATCCCCAGAACCCATACATAAGAAGAAATGATAGTACATGCCTGTAACTCTAGTGTTGGGGGACAGAGACAGGCAGATCCTGGGAGATCAGTAGCTAGCCACCTAGCAGACATCATCTTCTATTCTTTATGTTCTCAGACATGTGTGTGCATCCCCCCAAACATATACAAATATAACATACCACTAATAATAATAAACATAAGGGAATATTATTTTGTTTTGAGATTCCATATCTGAGTAGTGTACTTCCAGCAAAAACATGGGTGTATAGAACATCTAACTTTTATATCTGAGAAAACCTACTCACTTTCTGTTAAAACAAAAGTCGAGAGGGAATGAACAAAAGGAGGCACCTAACAATCTCTTGTTATTTTTCTAAGTCTGGAAAAATAATCAGAATTTATCTGCAGAAACTTTTTGTTTAGAAAACTCATCTTTATTTAGCACACAAATATCATAATTTTGTGGCATAACTTCAGACAGATTTTACATAGAACTATTCATTCCTTATAAAACCTGTCCTCTGTGGACATTAGTGATGACAGAAAGAAGTCCCATATATTTATATGTCCTTGGGTCCCCCAGAAGTCAGGCACACTTCCAGGAGCAAAGGTTGAAAAGATAGTGCCTCAGGAAGAGAGTTGGCCCTCAAGAGCACCACTCCAGCAGGCAGCTGAAAGGAAGCATGCCTGTGCATGTGGAGAGCTCTCTACTCTTGAAAACAGTCCTCAGCAGCCTCCAGACACTGAAAATCCTCTGACCAGAGCATGCCGCTTGCCTGCATTTGTCTCTCAGCCTTGACTGTTGTGTTTCCCTTGTGTTGTTGGAAATGAGCCTAATGTTATTTCTGCCTGTGCTTCCTTCTTCTCATGAGAAGACACATACTGAGTGTGCTGAGGACCCTCATGCTCTGCCTTAGCGGATTTGGCAAACAATGATTTTTGTGTCTCCAGAAAAGCAAGCAAACAGAACTCCCTGATGGGTTGCCTTGGGTGTGCAGTGCTCTCAGCAACCTCAGTCATGTCTGTTTCTTTTTCATTGCATGCTCAGTGGCCAGTGAGACTGATGTGTCTCTAAGATGTCCCTCTGTGCATAGCATCACAAATAAAGAATAAAACTGCCTTTTAAAATGACAGCTAACCGTGTGTGTGTGTGTGTGTGTGTGTGTGTGTGTGTGTGTGTGTGTGTGTGTGTATGTGTGTGTGTGTGTTTTCTCCACAGATGTCCCGAATCCTCCCTTTGATTTAGAGTTGACCAATCAACTTGACAAAAGTGTTCAGCTGACATGGACCCCAGGCGATGACAACAATAGCCCCATTACAAGTATGTGGTAGTTTTGCTTTATAGTTGGTAAACCTAATGGCCATTCCTGAAGCAAATATCTGTAACCATTTTGTAATATACTGCTGTAATTCCTTGATAATGCATTTACTGGCATTCTCTTCGTCACTGCTGTTAGAAACAAACTATGGTGCTCTTTGGAAATGGAGATGTTGCTGGTTATAGCTACTGGCACAACTAATTAATTCTTGAAAAAGTTAATCAAGCAAACACATTGTCATTTGTTTTTAATATTAAGAAGCCACCTTACATGTCTGCCACTGTCCTAGTTAGGGTTAATACTGCTGCAATGAAACACCATGACCAAAAGCAACTTACTTGGGGAGGAAAGTATTTATTTGGCTTACACTCCCACATTACTATTCATCATCAGAGGAAGCCAGGACAGAAACTCAAACAAAGCAGGAACCTTGAGGCAGGAGCTGATGCAGAGGTCATGGAGGGGTGCTGCTTGCTGGCTTACTCCTCATGGCTTGCTCAGCCTGTTTTCTTATAGAACCAGAATCACCAGTCCAGCAATGGCATCAACCACCATGGGCTGAGCCCTCCTCTATCAATCACTAATTAAGAAAATGCCCTACAGGCTTTCCTGCAGCCCCATTTCATAGAGGCATTTTTTTCTTTTTTCTTTTTCTTTTTTCTTTTTCTTTTTTCTTTTCTTTTCTTTCTTTCTTTTTTCTTTTTCTTTTTTCTTTTTTTTTTTTTGAGACAGGGTTTCTCTGTGTAGCTTTGGAGCCTATCCAGGCTCTCAGACTGGAGACCAGGCTGGCCTCGAACTCACGGAGATCCGCCTGCCTCTGCCTCCTGAGTGCTGGGATTAAAGGAGTGTGCCACCAACGACGGTTGAGGCATTTTTTTCAAGGACACTCCCTCCTCTGTGTTTCCTCTGGTTTGTGTCAAGTTTACATAAAACTACCCAGCATGGGCACAGTAGAGAGATGCATCTTGTTGGTCATTTATTTAATCCACTGCTTCTTGGAGGTGCTGAAAGGCCAGACTAAACACTGGGAAACTGATCTTGGTTCTCTATTATAGACCTACAGCTTATGATAGACCTGCTCAAATACAACAGGTCCTTAACTTCCAACACAGGTGATTTTCCCCCATTGCCCTTTGCTACAAAATGACACATTCAACATGTCAGTGCCTCACTTTGATTACATTGGCAGAGGGAATGAAATCAGTTGAGAGAACAAGGCAGACAGATACAAAGACATTTATTAAATCAGAATATAATAGACTTCAAGGCTTGGTCATAAAACTATAGAGATACCCAAGAGAGCTGACATAGTCAGTCGTGAGCCTGAAATACATTGTCACCCTCAAGCGTGGGCTTCAGGAAGACCAACTGCCCTTCCAGATCATTCCAAAGTCACAGCTAGGTTGATTTATTGCACCTTCCTCTGTTGTAATTGGTACATATGTTGACTCAAAGTGTCTCTTTTAGTTTCACATGGGGGATTATCCTACTGAACAGACACTACCATTTAGAGAGGAGAAAACAGATTGCTGCAGCGACAGCATCAAAATGAACAGGAAACGATTATAGCCCACTGCAAAGAGAAAAACGGCAAAACCAATGTCCAGTGAAGTTAAGAGTAACAAAGAGTAAAAGTGTAAGTGGCAAATGAATGAGATCAAGGAAGAAAAAATGGAAAGGAGAAAAAGAAAGAAAGGAAAAATAGGAAAACCGGAAAAGAACACTCTAAAGGGAAGAAACAGTGAGAGATCAAAAAGAAAAAAAAAATATTTCCCAACAAAGAGAAAGTTTGAAAATAAAATTAGAGGAATAAATAATGCTGAGTACAGTGAAATGAAAACAGTAAGAAGGAAAAAGAAGAGGTATAATGAATAAAGAAACACTAGAAAAGATGTAGCTGGGTGGCAGCTTCCAGATGGGGCATCTGCTGCTGGAGACAGGCTGGCTACAAGCGCACAGGTGTGGGGAAGGAGCTTGTGGACACTTGTCACTTGTTGGTTTGATTTGTGCTAGCACTGAGCCTCAGTAAATAGGTGCTCACTGTCAGCCCCGGTGGATTTAGTAGCTTCTTTTTGTGACAAATCCAAAGCGTTTCCTAGCCACACTTTGCTTTGCAGTCTGTGGACTGGACATTTCTTCCCACCCACCCAAGACTTCTTGTAGTTCAAGGATGGCTAATATTTCAGTGGGGCAGGGCGTGCCTCCCAAGTGAACTTTGACTTGTGGAAGGAAACACAGGACTGAGATCCATTCAGAAATGTTTTACAGAGACATGGCATTATCACAGCAAGACAGAACAACATCATGTAGAAAATGTTAAGTGCCTCAAGCCAATTTCAGGCAGGGTGTGACTTACCTAAATACATAATTTGTTTACAAAGGTGAAACATGACACAACACAACATTGATCCTAGCAGTACCCGTGGAAAGTATGTCTTCCTCCCACTAATGTCTGCAAGCTCCTCAGGCCATACTACTCTTAATGAGTGTGTACCTTCTGACAAGAAATCCATGTACATCCAAGTGTGTATTATCTAGCAGTTTGTGTTTTTGTTTTTTACTGTTACACGGTGTAGTATGTGTGTGTACTCTTCTATAGCCTGCTCATTTCTATGTTAACCGTACACTTAGAGACCTCCCATTTCTGTCCATACAGACCATCCTCATTTAAAACAGGTGCAGAGTATTCCACAGTGTGTGTGTGTGTGTGTGTGTGTGTGTGTGTGTGTGTGTGTGTGTGTACCATATTTGATTACATATGCCCACTGGTAAGCATTTAGCTTGTTTGTAACTAGTTTGTTTCAATTGTGAATCATGAAGCAATGTGGATTCTTTTGTATGTGTATTTACACCACATGGGTAAGCACATTTGTTCAAAATGTGCTAGAAGTACAATTCTTTAAAGACCGTGTATGTTTAAAATTGTTAGACGTTCTCAATTGTCCTGCATAGAAGTGTATCAATTTACACTTCCTAGGAGGTCTGAGAGTGTGTCACACAACAAAATACCTTAAACATTTGATTTCTGTTGATCTTCCTCAGGAAAAACAGCTCCTTAACTGTGTTTTCTATAGTTACTCCTTTCTCTTTTTTTTTCTTTTTTTGGTTTTTCGAGACAGGATTTCTCTGTGTAGCTTTGGAGCCTATCCTGGCACTTGCTCTGGAGACCAGGCTGGCCTTGAACTCACAGAGATCCTCCTGCCTCTGCCTCCTGAGTGCTGGGATTAAAGGTGGGTGCCACCAACGCCCGGCTAGTTACTCCTTTCTATGACAGTAATTGAGCACTTTTTCGTGTATTTAAACTTCCCATTAGAATATATAGATAAGGTTTAACAGTTTTAACAAGCTGACTTCCCAGTGATGGAGGGAAATGCCAAATATTGCACATCCTTAAGTGCTGAACTCACAATACCCCAACAGGATTTTTCCTGGGGGAAAAAAAAATCACTTGTGTCTGGCTACTCTTGCTTGCCACAAATTACCTCTAGCAACCTGTCCTCAAGTTGACTGATGTCACTGACTTGCATTTGTGGTGTGTGTGACGTTATGGCCAGAATTCATCATTGAATATGAAGATGCAATGCGTGAGGCAGGGATATGGCACCACCAGGCGGAAGTTTCTGGAACACAGACCACAGCACAGTTGAAGCTGTCTCCGTACGTAAACTACTCCTTCCGTGTCATGGCAGAGAACAGTATTGGGAGGAGTGTGCCCAGCGAGGCATCGGAGCAATACCTGACGAAAGCTGCAGGTAAGGCAGCAGCAACACAGGGTCCCCACATAACGGAGAAGGGTTTCCCACTCCTCCCAGAGCCAAAGCTAACTCACATGTGACGGCTTCATTTCTAGAACCAGATCAAAATCCCACAGCTGTGGAAGGACTAGGAACAGAGCCTGACAACTTGGTGATTACATGGAAGGTGAGCCATGAAGCCTCCCATTTGCCTTAATCTTTTATAGATAATGAAGAATGAGTTATTTTAGAAAAATATCCATGTTTATATTCCTGTTTACCCATTGTGGAAATAAACATTTATCTTTATTTACAAGGCAGTGTTATATAGTAATTAAAAAGTTCTGTTTCTGGGACCAAAAATGGACACTTGAAAATCCCACCTTTGGTAATTATACCAATTACCAAGTGTCTATCGGTCATCTCTATGTTGAGAACAATAATCCACCTATATAAGATGGAAGGAACTGATGTATGTGAAGCACTTAGTATAATGCCTGACACAAATACATGCTCAAAAAAATGCTACTATTATCCTCATCAAAGAGACCATTTAGAAGACCTGCATCAAGCCATTCCCAGTAGTCAATTATTATTATAATTATTCTTATTTACTTTATCTGTGTTTTCTGGGTATGAAAAAAGAATAATTAGAATAAAAACATTGATTTGTGTAATATCAAAACCCATCTTGGATCTAAGCATGTGCATATGTATATGCATATATGATAGAACAGACAGACCCAGATTTTTTAATAGAGAAATGGTTCATAAGTTTCCATCTCCAAGTGGGTAATGATGTGCAATAACACAAAGAGGAATATATAAAGTGAGTCTAGATAACTAACTGTTGTAAGGCTCACCCACACTTACTTATGGAGCCGGTCTTCGGAAGCCTTATACATACATTATTTACTACTCTGGAATTACAATTTACAATTTTGCAAATTTGTAAATTTTGAAAGCATTATTCCAAACAAACTTTGAATTTCATCACCAATGATAAAGGAGAAGAGATCCCTGGAGACATAGGTATTTAATAGCTTGCATTTTAGAATTTTAGCATTCATTTTCTTTGGTCTAGGAATTGGATTTGCCATTCCTGTAAAAGGTTGTACCATCATTCTATTTGACTTTTTTCATAGCCCTTGAATGGTTTTGAATCGAATGGGCCTGGCCTCCAGTACAAAGTGAGCTGGCGCCAGAAGGATGGTGATGATGAATGGACGTCTGTGGTTGTGGCCAATGTATCCAAATACATTGTCTCTGGCACACCAACCTTTGTCCCGTACCTGATAAAGGTTCAAGCTCTGAATGATGTGGGGTTTGCTCCAGAGCCAGCTGCAGTCATGGGTCACTCTGGAGAAGACCGTAAGTGTCCCCTGCTCTTTCCATTCTACCCTTTTCCAGATGGACAGACCTACCAAGCTGCAAACTGAGGCTATTCCAGAGGATCCTGGGCTGGCAAGGGAGGAGAAGTAGCAATCATTTTGCTTACTTGTCTGCAATTGTACAGCTTACTCTGTGATAGTGATTCAGTACCAGGGGAATGGCTTGGTGGTAGAGCACTTTCCTAACATGTGTAAGGTTCTGGATTCCAAACCCAGAACCTCCAGCTGGGGGGAATAGTTCACAATGTTAAAGAAAAACTTGGTTTCATGGAGTTGAATGAATGAATTTTAAAAAGTCTACTTTTAACTATCACCAATATGTAGTACAGGACTCTATAGTGTAGTGTGGAGTGTGTTTCAAGCCAAACTTATTGAATAGTGTGACATTTTTACATGAAATAAAAAAAAACAGCTATTTTTAGCACTCTTTCTTGTCTTGTTCTTAGTTCCGATGGTGGCTCCTGGGAATGTTCATGTCAATGTGGTGAACAGTACTTTGGCAGAGGTACACTGGGACCCAGTACCTCTGAAGAGTGTCCGAGGACACTTACAAGGCTACCGGGTAGGTAAAGGGAAGCACTTTGTGTTCTTTAGTTAGTAGCAGGGCCATGGTGAGGGCAACTTTTCATGCATACCAGTTCAGGTTGAAATTATGTGGCTTATCTCTTGTGGACTTGTGAATCCATCAGATCCTTTGCTCAGTACCTGCACCTGTATCTAAAGAACCCAGCTACAGTTGATTTGAAATCCTATTTATCCAGGGTGAGAAAATGATGTTTTATCTATCTTTCTTAGGTTTCCCAACTTTTCTGGAACTGAACAGCCCATGTGAAATATGGCAAACTGATTTGTAAAGAAGTAGAATAGAACAAATTGCACCGAGCTTTACAATTATATAGACAGCAGTAATACATGTGTCTGCTTACCTCTGATTTCGTGTTAGGAGATCACAAGACAAATTTATTAGTGCTGTCTCTATTGTTGGATAAAATACACTTTCAGAGTCTGCAGTCCATAACTGAGGCATCCTTATGAACATTAACATCTTTATTTTCAAAACACAGAAAGACTGATTCCTAGAGATGTTTTATTCATATATAGCTAAAGAATGCCACATATATTTATATCACTACTTTGATTTGACACTGGCCCCTAGAGGATGCTTTTTGCACTGCACTGTTTTCTTTTTTTTCCCCTAATACTGAAGAAATTTGGCATATGTTGACTTATCTTGAAAAATGCCTTTAAGTTTCTAAGAAGCCTTCAAGAAAATGTAACAGGCAAAAGTTCTTGCCTTTAGACCAAAGTTAGGCAACACTTTGTTTATCTTTCCAAAACCAGTGCCTGCAATTAAAAGTACTTTGAATTAGATGGTAGTGTGGCTGAAAAGACTAACCTAAGACTTGCAGTATAGGGTCATTGTGGCTTTGAGAGAATCCGTCAGTAACCCATAAGCTCAACAGTACCACAAAAAAATAATAAAAACCTCACCAGGGTGAGGATTAAATTAAGTGATGTGTTAAATAAATATGCATAACTACGGGAGTATATAAACAATGGACAGTAAAATGTATACAGCTAAAATACTTAAATCTTCATTATGGTCATTTTTTCTTATTTTTGAAAGAACCAAGTAAGTCACATTCTATTTCATTAATTTCCTTTATATTCCTCCAACAAAATAGTAAAGCAGAGCTTCCTCACTGTCTGTGGGTCTGTCTCTCTTGTCTACGAACAAGTATCCATTAGTTTTACTAATAGTTACGTAAAATGAACCAAGATATTTTTCTGAGAAAACAGCAGTTCAGCTTTAAAAAATTGTGCATATGTGTGTACCCATGTTCAGGCACTCCTACAAAGGATGAGCAAGAAGGGAGTTACACAAGCAACAGGGCATGTGTGGAGGTCAGAAGTCAGCTCTGTGGACTTGGTTATCTTCTCCTACCTTTCTGTGGGTCCCACGAATGTAACTCAGGTTGACAGGCATTCACATAGCAAGGACTTTTTACCGGCTGGGCCTCCTTGCCAACCCCAGTGCTTGGGTTTTGTAAGCATAAGGAATCATAGTGATTTTCTGTAAGTCCTGACTTTGGTTCTTGCCACTTCAGATTTACTACTGGAAGGCTCAGGGCTCATCCAAAAGAAACAGACGCCACATCGAGAAGAAGATCCTCACCTTCCAGGGCAGCAAAACTCATGGCATGCTACCAGGGCTGCAACCTTACAGTCACTATGAGCTCAATGTCCGAGTGGTCAACGGGAAAGGGGAGGGCCCGGCCAGCACTGACAAAGGCTTCCATACTCCAGAGGGAGGTACGGAATGGGTGTGTCTCTGGCATCAAGGAAGGAGCCTGTGGCATATCCTGAAAGGTTTTGTACTACAGAAGGCCCACCATTGAGAGAATTCTCTGGGAGCTTCACGCATGATTATAAATAATCACAACACAACAAAGCTGACACAATGTCACTCATATATGATTGATGGCCACACACCTAGCTTCAGAATCCAGAAGGCCCTCTCCGTATACCTTCTCCTTTCCCTTAAACTTTTTCTTCTCACTTAGGCTATGTGAAACATTGTTAATGTGTTTTTTGAGTCATCAGCTTTCTGAGCTGAGTTTTGTTCTGTAACTTCTCGAAGCTTTGTCTGGTGTGGTGGTCCACACCTTTAATCTCAGCATTTGGGAGGCAGAGGCAGGTAGATCTCTGTGAGTTTAAGGCCAGCCTGGTCTACAAAGCAAGTTCCAGCACAGCCAGTAATACACAGTGAAACCCTGTCTCAAAAATCAAACAAACAAAGCAAAACCAACACACAAAAACTTCACTAAGCTTCAGTAGGTCCCACTGGAAAGTGTGAGTGCTGAAAAGAAAATGTAGGAAAATAATCCCCAGAGGAAGGTATTTCTGTGAGTTAGAGTTGACTCATTAGCTTTCATGACTTCTTATGAAGTTGTACTGAGTTAGTAGGGTAGAAGTCTGGTATCAGGCTTGGTAGTGCCTGCAGTCCCAGCACCCAAGATGCTGAGGCAGAAGGGCTGTTTGCACTATAATCCTCATCATTGAGGCCTCATGCTGGTCCTTTGGATGGCTCAAGGTGGCATAGAAAAGATAAAAATGGGATTAAAGACTGAAGTGGAAGGGGAAAGAATGGTTTGTCTGAAGTCACAGAGGCATTAAAAAGTACACCTCCTACCAAATGCAAGATGTATAACCAGAGTGAGAAATGAGATATGGCACTGAGAGAGGGCCCACATCATGCATGATCTCAGTTGCCATAGATGCTAACCTGTGGGCCAGAAGCTCTTAGCCTGCAGAGTGTGGTAATCCCTTCAGGATCTGTTGAAACATTTGAAGAATACTACAGACCGCCTGAAACAACATGGTGCAGCATGTCAACATATTTTTCTAGAGAGAAGAGACCTGAGGTTTCCAAAAGTTAAGAACCAATTAGGTTGAAGCTTAGAAGCCTGTGGCAGGTATGATTGCAGGCCCAGGATGAACACAGGAGAAGAAGAGAAGCAGAGAGGATAAAGGAATGGATATGGTTGAGAGAGTCGCCAAGATTTAGCATCCCAGGAGATGGTAAAAACAAGAACTCCAAATTGACTCTCCAGTTTCCGGCTAGAGTGAAGGAGGGAAAATGGTATTATTAAAGGGTTCCTAGGGAATATGACAGGAAGGCAGCATCCTGCTGGAGATCAGCTCCAAATCTCATAAAGATGGGAGTGGAAAACTAGGCCTGTTTTCCTCTGATAATTTGCCAGCCTCTGCCTAGGAGACTGGAAACCCTTGAACCTTCTCCGTGCTGGGATGGAGTAAACCAACATACGGTGGGCCTCTTCTATTTTACTTTCCAATACTGGGAAGCTGTGAGCACTTGAGATAGGCACAGCTCAGCACTTGGGCACCCTGGCCTGGGCACAAAGCCCATTAGGAAGGGTGCTGGGACTTTGTGAAGACACCTGGTTTGTTGGGGGAAATAGTTCTTAATGGGCCAGAACACAGCTGCTTCCTCTCAAAGGCCTGCATGGATGGTCTCCCTTAGCAACCAGTTCTCTGATACACACTGAGTTAAGTACTGTCAGCTTTAAAATAGATTGAGTCCCTATAAAGACTGTCATTATGTATTTTGAGAAGATGATTTTAATGAATTTAAATAGAAATTTTTTAAAACAAGATATCATAACAAAAGAAATACATCCCTGCCACAGATTTGTGTCACTGTATTTCCAGCTGAGTCAAAAACCAACCTGAAAAGCAAAACTTGGATCCATTGTGTAAATAGGACAACTATGTTGGCTTTGGAATGTCTTTTAAAAATTGCGTTGACTGTTTGCTTTCATTAAAAGTCCCTAGTGCTCCCTCATCTTTGAAGATTGTTAATCCAACACTGGACTCTCTCACTTTGGAATGGGACCCACCAAGCCACCCAAATGGCATCCTGACTGAGTACACCTTAAAATATCAGCCAAGTAAGTCACCCCTGTTGTAAGATACAAGCTGCTCATTTCCCTGTGTATATATACCTTCAAGTACTGTTCCAGAAAGAGCTTCAGAGCATACCTGTATAGAAAAATGATGTTATGCTATTGAAAATTAAGGTCTCTTTAGAATAATACAGATTGCTAAATGTATCATTAGGTTAGGAGACCATTATCTGGCAAGAGAAAGTGAAAGTTTCTTGGCCACAAAATGCCAAGAGAATTGTTTGGAGTTATTAACAATATAGACCTCCATCAGCAAAGACAGAATAATAATTGCTATTGTAATCCAACTGTAGAGGCCCCCTAGTTTGTAAGCCAACAGGGTAAATTTTTCCACTTGTTCATTTTATACTATAGGTTACATTTTACAATTTAAATAGTTATAAGTTAGTGTGTTAGCCAAAGCATGAAAAGGATTGTAAAAGGCTTGTAAACTGAAAATGACTTTTTTTCTCTTGCTGAACTATGACTTACAGTATTATTCTTATAACAACTAATAGGGAATGCACTTGTTTATCACTTTTCATTGGCAGTTAACAGCACACATGAACTAGGCCCTCTGGTAGATTTAAAAATTCCTGCAAACAAGACACGCTGGACTTTAAAAAATTTAAATTTCAGCACTCGGTACAAGTTTTATTTCTATGCACAAACATCAGTAGGATCCGGCAGTCAGATTACAGAGGAAGCAATAACCACTGTGGATGAAGGTAAGCTGGGTATGTATAAAATCCATATAATTACAAATATCAGAGAATTAAAAGGCATTGTGAATTTGTTCCTTCTCTTTTTTTTTCTTACCATGGAATATCCGTTGTACCTAATAACATACTTATTTGTAATTTCTCATCCCAATGTATGGGGGAAATCAGTTATTTTGTTCAGCTATTTGGTCATTTATGTTTCAAGCCTATAGGAAACTTCTAACTTACATTAAAACATGGGTGTGAGGAGACTGATGGTTCAGAGGTTAAGAGCACTTACTGCTCTTGCAGAGGACCCAGGCTCAGTTCCTAGTACTCACATGGTGACTCACAACTGTCTGTAATACCAGTTATAGATCTGAGGTTCTCTTCTAGCATTCACAGGTACCTGCCATGCATATAGTGCACATGAATTCATGCAAATAGACACAGATAAAATAAATAAATATGTTTTTTAAAATCAAAGCAGAATAAGAAATAATAATACTTATCGCAATTGAATTCAAAGCTTAATGTAACTTTTTTGCCTATATGTACACATGCGCTTATATATAATTTTGGCTATAGTCCTGATTCACTGGAAATAATTTGCTTATCTACATTTTGATTAAGAATTTCTAGCCAGAAATTATAAACAAGTATTGCACTTATTTCGTTCTTAAAAAAGAAAAGGTGGGCAAAACATTTCCCATTAAACTGAATATTTTCAAAAGTGAGTCAGAAATTTTTGATCCAGTGAAAGATTTAGAATAGTATAAAGTGAGGCTAAAGAGATGGCTCAGTGGTTAAGAGCCCTTTTTGTCTTACAGAGGACCCAGGTTCAGTTCCCAGCACTCACATGATGGCTCACTACCATCAGTAAATGCAGTTCCGGGATATCTGATGCCCTCTTCTGACCTCGGTGGGAGCTAGGCCTGCATGCAATACACACACATTTGTGTAGGCAAAACATTCACACATATAAAATAAAATAAATTCTAAAAGTATTTAAGTATTGTAACATATTTTCTGGTTTTGCATGTCTCTAAATTGTAAAATTGCTTAAGGACTAAATCGTCTGGTTGTTGGGTATCTTCTATAGCTTCTATATATCATATGAAATTCAAATTTCTATCAAAAAATGGGTCAAAAACAGCCTAATCCTTCTTAGGATAATGTACCTTAAGTAATGTTTGTATTTAAATATTGGGTAAGTATAGGGGAAGCAATACATTTTTGCCCATGTGCCTGATATACTGGGCTTAATTCTTCTTGCATGCCTTAGAATTTTAACGAGTGCTTTTTATATGGCTGTACATGCTCATGGGTGTGTTACATCTAACTATATAGTGTCCTGTTTCTGTTTCCCTTCATTAAGCTGGTATTCTTCCACCTGATGTAGGTGCAGGCAAAGGTAAAATAATTCATCTGCATGACTTCATACCTGTGTGAACTTTGCAATGCTAAAATGTGGGGAAGTGCAGCATGGGTAAAAATGAGAAAATAAAATATGCTCAGCATCACCAAAAGGAGAAGACCTTGGCTGATTGTGGCTTTGAAATTAATTTCTACATCGTTTTAGAATAGAAAGTCACATGTTTAATTCTCCCCAAATTTCTTTTCTCAACACTTATCCCTGGTGCAAATCCTAATCTTAGATTATAAGAATATGATTTTGGTTAGATCAGATGGGATGAGAACAGCAGATTTGTCACAGATCTTCCATATGGCTGTGCCCCATATCAGGAATTATTATACTAGATGAAAACCGCCTACTAGAAATAGATCAGCTGAGCTTCCAATTGCCATCTAACCTGGCCTCACTCCTGAACAACACTGTGTATGCACACTTGATAGCATTACAGCACACTATCCTTCTGAGCCCACTCCTGGACAACACTGTGTACGCATTCTCAATAGTATTATGACACACTATTCTTCTGAGCTTTGGTTTATCAGTGTCCTACAACTGGGACTGAGTATCTACAAGTGAGTTTTCCAGTCAGCTTGCATGCTTTGCTCAGCTGTCTCACTCCACCCTTCTTCACCAGTGCAAAGTCTCCCTGCCTGAGTTCTATCTAGCTAGTGGTTTTCAGTGGGTGGCATCTGTTCTCCATTAGTTCTTACAACCCTCTGTGCCTGAAACACTTTCTGGGAGAATGGTGTTTGATAACTCGTAATGTATATTCCACTGGTAGGGATACCACAGAGCCCTGCCCCCATCTTTGACCCCTGGCTATTGGTCCACCAGGGTTTGCCTTTAAAGAGTAGCTATGTCTCTGCTTCCCTGAGCTGTTTCCAAGTGAACTGGTGAAGTGCCCACAGTCAGGGCTTGTCCTGGCTTGATGAGTACACATAGGAGTGAAGGAAAGAACATGAGAGCAGGGAGCCTTGCCTTAAGTGTGTCCACTATTGTAAGCTTAAACTTGATGCACATTCTCTATTTTCTTAGAAAATCTGCTTCTATCCAGAGTCTTGGTGTTTCACATAATGTATATAAGATGGTTCTTAGAGTCACTCTGTTCTATATGTACATCTCTTTTCTGGAGCAATTATCAACTAAAATGATGGGTAGTTTTGTGATGAATTAAGCTATGTAACTTACTTAAGAATTCCACTGAAAGCCTGGCTGCCTCTCCTATGTGGCAAACATATCCCTGTGACTGTGGCCAATGACAGCCAAGAACTTTAGCTTCCCTTGGGCTGCCAGTGAAGCTTGGTTCACATTAGAAGACAATATGGATTCTGTTTTAAATGAACTCAAACTAAAATAATCTTTATTGAAAGGTTTTTATTTTTTCATTTGATGTGACTAAATTCAACTGTAGACAATTTATGAATATAAAATAACGAAGGTAGAATTAACAATTACATTAACAATTAAACAAAAGTAAATTAAGTTCTCAATGTAAAATCTAGTGGGCCTCAGATAATAAAAGGAATAATAAATATGTAAGTGAGAAAATGGTGAATCTGACCTTATTTTCAATATTTTTAATAGCACAATAGTTAAATGCTGTTGAATTATGATATTTTACCATAGTGATATTTAAACTCAAGTGTAATTCATAATTCTGAATTTTTCTTCAAAGGCACCTTTTAAAATCTAACAATGATAAATTACAGTAGTCACTTCTCAAGTGATACTAGAGATTGAACCCAGTGGTTTGCACATCCTCAGTGTTCCTTCCTTTCTTCTCAGTACAATTGCGTATAGATATTCAGGATCTTCAGGAGTTTATTTTGATCCATTCCCTTTCTGCTTCAAACCACCAATATTTACATAAAAGTTACCTTGTTTGGCAGTTCTTGCCCCATTTCTATGGCTCCTTAGATGATCTCAGGGTCTGGAGTTCTGGGAGCTACCCCTGTGAAAGTTTTTCTATGAAATGAAGCAAGACCTGAGGAAAGTGGATATGGGATTTCCCAGGCTCCCCTCTGCTGACAGAGCTGTATTCCCATGTGACATTGTGACAATGATGCTCTTGACAGATTTGTAGCGTAATTATTTGCTATAGGAATATGGAGGAAATACTAAAGAAAGAGTCTATACTCTGTTTAATTTGAAGTCTCCCCAGGACTGATCAGAAAAGCTCCATCGGTCAACAGCCAGTCCTGCGTCCTTCCTGAGATCTGACTTACTAAATGATTTTTTGCCTTTATTTGGCCTGAAAAAAAGAACAAACAAAAAAATTTTAAAAAGAGAAAAACCACAAATGCATTTGAGCACTCATTGTAACAGGTAAAGATGTTTCCTTGACACAAATAACACAACTTTTTACATAACCCTGTGCATCAAGAAAGTAAAACAAGACTCTGCCTTTCACAGGCTTAAAATGTGGCAGGGAGATGAAAAACCAGCAGTGTGAACAAAATGCTACATGAGTCTTAGGGTGAGGGAAGGTGTCAGGGAAGGCCTCACAAAGAATGTTCCAAAGACCTGGGTCTCGAAGGCCTGTTTTCTCTGGCCTGGTTGAGTTGTTGGTCAGAAGCATGGGCAAAGGCAGGAATTGAAAAGCAGACAAGATGCTCTGTAACAGTTATCAAGATACTGTGTGGAAAGAGATGCCCTTTGGGTTGTAACTGGAGCAGTTGGCAGCCAAAGGTGAAGAGCTCTTAGCAGCCCCTCCCCCAATCCTGTAGTAATGCAGATGTGAGTCCTTGAGTTTTAACAGCGAAGTTGTCTAGTTCAAGAAGCTAGCATGTGGTAGTTAGTTAGCATCAGTAGATAACAACAGAGTAAGTTTTTATTGTGCTAAGAGGTAGGCAGGGAGACCCTTGGGGAAACTGAGATCAGACACAGCACTGAAAACCCCTGTGGCTATATCCTAGCGGCTCAGTGAGCAAGAAAGTGGAACAAGAGGCAGCCAATGGGAAGGAAGATGAGAATACCCCATTTTAAAACTGGCTAAATAATATAACATGAAGAAACTGAAATCTTGAATGGCTGCTTGAAGAGCAAGCTAAATACATGTTTTCAGTATAGACACTTTACAGTTAAACACATTAGGTATGTAAAATATGTTTATCTTTTCTTCAGCATATTTTTATTAATTAAAATTTTCATTTATTTTACATTCTGACTGCAGTTTCCCTTTCCTCCTCTCCTCCTGTCCCTGCCCCCGCCACCTTCCTTCTGTTCCCTGCATCCACTCCTCCTCAGTTTCTGTTCAGAAAGGGGCAGGCCTCCTATGGGAGTCAATAAAGCATGGCCCATCAAGTTGTGGTAGGACTAAGCTCCCCGCTTTGTAATAAGGCTGGGCGAGGGAAGCCAGTATGGGGAATGTGTTCCTAAAAGCTATCTCAAGAGTTAGAGACAGCCCCTTATCCCAAAAACAGACCAAGCTACACACACTGTCACACATATGTAGAGGCCCTAAGTTGGCACCATGCAGACTCCCTGACAGTCTAGAATCTGTAAGCTCCTATAAGCTCAGGTTAGTTGTTCCTGTGGGTTCCTTTGTGATGACCTTGACCCACTATGGCTCTTACAGTCTTTCTTCCCTCTCTTCTTAAACAGGATTCAG